GCGACAGCTCCGCCAGCAGCGGCAGCACCCACGGCGTGGGGCTCCACGGGGACCACGGCGCCCGCACCAGGTCCACCCGTGGGTCCACCAGCCTGCAGGGACGGGGCCATCAGCACCCCCACATCCCCTCCCCAATCCCTCCCCAATTGGGGTGTCATCCCCCCCCCCCCCCCAAACCTCTGCTGGAAGCGGTCATTGATGGAAACCCAAACATCGAAGTAGATCTGGGGCTCAGAGACGTTGTAGCGGGGCAGGAGGTGGCTCAGGCAGGTCGAGTATTGCTTCAGCATGTCCGCGTGGTCCTTCCAGCGCCGGCTCTGTGTGAACACCTACCCCCAGGGGGAGCGGGGGGGGGGTCCCCCTGGCTGGGTCAGTGATGGGGAACCCCCCCCCCCCTTTTCCCCCCCTGCCCTGGGGTCCCTACTCACCCCCGGTTTGAGGTAGCCCACCTCCCCCGTGAGCCCGTCCCGGTAGGTGATCTTGACATGCTGGTGGAAGCGGGAGTGAACCATCATGTCCCAGGAGTAACCGTAGAGGCCGTTGGTCCAGTTGTTGTAGCCCTGGGGGGGGGGCGGGGGGGACAGATGGACAACACAGGAGACACACACACGGGGACAGCAGTGTCCCCACCTCACAGCGATAATGATGGGGTAGGGGACCCCGGTATGGGTGTGGCACCAGGGGACAGCAGTGTCCCCACCTCACAGCGATAATGACGGGGTAGGGGACCCCGGTATCCCCCCCTCCTTCATCCCCTGGGCGAGCCCCCTCCCATTGCAATGCCCCCCCACCCCCCAGCATGTGCCCAAGTATCCCCCCCATCCCTCTGCCCCCAATAGTTATTTACTCGCCCCTTCCGTGTCCCCCTCCCCTGCTAACATAGCCCCCCCCCCTTTACCACCATCCCCAAGTGTCGTTTCAACCCCTGTGCCCCCCAAAAACTCCCATATCCACAAATATACCCCCATATCCCCCCCAAATAACCCACACGTCCTAAAAAACACCCATCTCCCAAAATACACCCCCCCCCATCCCTCAAAATACCCTACATAGCCCCCAAAACGCCTCCCACAGCTCCAAAAATGCCCCCTCACTTCCAGTGGTGCCCCTCTGCCCTGCCCCCTTTTTTACCCCCCCATTTTGACACCCCCCCCACACACACACCTGGGTAATGAAGTGGGAGTAGGGCAGGAAGAGCTGTTCCAGCACGTAGAGGAGGGTGAAGGCGGCGGCCAGGTGCTGGCGAGGCCGAAGGCCCCCCCGTGCCCCCCGCCCCCCATAGTGGCAGTCCGGGCTGGGCTGGGGGGGCTGGGTGCTGGGCAGCACCCCCCGCAGCCAGCGCGGGCAGCGGGCCCAGAGGCGCCGGGGCCAATTCGGGTGGCAGAACAGCCCGTTGGTGGCCAGCATGGTGTAGGGGAACATTCCTGCGGGGGGGGGGAGGGGGGGTAAGGGGGGGGGCACACCCCTTAGGGACCCCCCCAACTGCACACCAGGGTCCCCAAGGGCTGAGGGGAGGGGGCCTGGGTGCCCCTGCCCTGTTTGGGGCTGCTCTGGGGGTGCTCCTGTCCTGGCTGGGGGTGCCTGGGAGCCCCTGCCCTGGCTGAGGGTTTATTTGGGGGGTGCCTGGGTGCCCCTGCCCTGTTTGGGGGGTGCTCTGGAGGTGCCCCTGCCCTGGCTGAGGGTTTATTTGGGGGCTGCCCCTGCCCTGTTTGGGGGGTGCTCTGGAGGTGCCCCTGCCCTGGCTGAGGGTTTATTTGAGGGGTGCCCCTGCCCTGTTTGGGGGGTGCTCTGGAGGTGCCCCTGCCCTGGCTGAGGGTTTATTTGGGGGGTGCCTGGGTACCCCTGCCCAGGTTAGGGGTGCTCTGGGGGTGTTGGAGGGTGTCCCTGCCCAGGCTCAAGGAGTTTTGGGGGTGGGGGTTGGTGCCTGAGTGCCCATACCCTGCCTGGGGGTGCTTTGGGGGGTGCCCCTGCCCAGGCTGGAGGTGCTCTGGGCTGGGGGGGGGATGGGGGGGAAAGGGTGCTGTGTGTGCCCCCCCGCGCCGGTGCCTCACCGATGCTGAAGAGCTGGGAGTTCATGCAGTGGAAGTAGGTGACGAAGATGAGGGCGAGGGGCCGGGTGGCGTCGAAGAAGAGGAGGAATCCGGCGGAGAGGTCGAGCACCAGCCCCCCCCCGTGCACCACCAGCAGGCTGGTCATCTCCTCCGACAGCACCAGCCTGCGGGGGGGGGGGTCTGTCACCCTCCTCATCCTCACCTTCACCCCGTCAGCCCCCCCCCGTCACCCTCCTCCTCCTCACTTGAAGGGTGCGAAGAGCCAGTGGCGGGAGAGGGAGCCCATGGAGTAGCCCCCCACCCAGTCGGCATCCAGCTTCTTCAGCCCCGCGATGAAGTAGACGATGAAGACCTGGGGGGGGGAGGGGGAAGGGGTGAGGGGTGGAAGGGGTGAGGGGTGGCCCTGCAGGGGACCCAACCGCCCGGGGTGGGGGGGGACCCTGGCATCCGAGGACCCACCTGGGCGCGCAGCAGGGTGTAGTTCCACAGCGGCACGTGAGCGTTCCTCTTCTGGGGACGGAGAAGCCCGTCCAGGGACCTGCGGGGACCCCCAGAAAAAGGGGGTGACCAGGCATTAAGGACCGTGGGACACCACCCCACGGGGACCCTTGTGTTGTAGGGGACACCGCGCCGTGGGGGGACCTCAGGGTTCGTGGTACCCCGTAGGGACCATGGTGTGAGGGACCCGGGGGTCTGTGCCACCCCATGGGGACCCTGCTACACACCAGGTCCTTTGCCAGCCCCTGGGGAGCCACATCTGGGGAGGGGACACACACACACACACCCTGTGCCACCCCCTGGGGACACATTGCCACAGGGACCCCATGGATCCTCATCCCACCCCATGGTCACCCAGTGCCACGGGGGACAGCGAGGATTGTCCCTGACACCTTGACCTCGGTGTCCCTCAGCACCCCGGTGCCTCGGGGGACCCCGGTAGCCCCCCGGGGCGGCGGTGGCAGTGCCCACCCGTAGCGGTCGGCGCCCAGCAGCGCCAGCTGGAAGCCCAGGAGCCCGTAGAGGTAGGAGTGGTTGTTCCAGGAGGTCTTGTCCAGCAGCAGCACGTACCAGTACGGCCCCAGGAACGCGGCGCAGCTCAGGCGGTAGCAGCACCCCGCCATGATGCCCAGCGCCCCTGCGGGCACCGCACCCTGTCCCGTCCCTGTCCCCGTCCCTGTCCCACCCCTCTCCCCAATCCCTGCCCCCAGCCTTCCCCAGTTCCCCTCCCCTACCCCCACGCTCACCCCGGTGCTCGTCCCCAGCCCAGTCCCTGTCCCTCTGCCCGTCTCAGTCCCAGGGTTCATCCCAGTGCCCATCCCAGTCCCTTTGCCCACCCCCGTGCCTGTCCCACTTCATCCCAGTTCCTAATCCCAGTGCCCACCCCACTTCATCCCAGTCCCAGTGCCCACCCCACTCCATCTCAGTCCCTTTGCCCACCCCCATGCCCATCCCAGTGCCCACCCCACTCCATCCCAGTTCCTCATCCCAATCCCAGTGCCCACCCCACTTCATCCCAGTCCCAGTGCCCACCCCACTCCATCCCAGTCCCTCATCTCAGTCCCTTTGCCCACCCCCATGCCCATCCCAGTGCCCACCCTACTTCATCCCAGTTCCTCATCCCAATCCCAGTGCCCACCCCACTTCATCCCAATCCCAGTGCCCACCCCACTCCATCCCAGCCCCTTTGCCCACCCCCATGCCCATCCCAGTGCCCACCCTACTTCATCCCAGTTCCTCATCCCAATCCCAGTGCCCACCCCACTTCATCCCAATCCCAGTGCCCACCCCATTTCATTCCAGTTCCTAATCCCAATCCCAGTGCCCACCCCACTCCATCCCAATCCCAGTGCCCACCCCACTTCATCCCAGTTCCTCATCCCAATCCCAGTGCCCACCCCACTCCATCCCAGTTCCTCATCCCAATCCCAGTGCCCACCCCACTTCATCCCAATCCCAGTGCCCACCCCACTCCATCCCAGTCCCTTTGCCCACCCCCGGCGCCTGTCCCCCGCCCTAGCACCCACCCCACCCCCCGTGCCACCCCGTTCCCCCCCCCCCCCCGCACCCAGGAACATGACGGCGTAGAGCAGGTACATCCAGTCGAGGGGCAGGGGCCGCAGGAAGGGCAGCAGCGGGAACCGGCACACCTCCAGCCCCTCCAGGAACCGCTGGTCCAGCTGCCCCAGGCCCCGCTCCTGCGGCACGTCCAGCGCCATCAGCAGCCCTGGGGGGGGGGGGGGGGGGGGGGATCAGCTCCGGTTCCCCCCCCCCCCCGTTTCCCCGGGGTGAGCGCCCGGGCGGCCGCTCCCAAACCTCCGCCCGAACCTTTGCTCCCGGTGGGGACGTGCCCCCCCCCCCCCCCCCGCTCACCGAAGGCCGCCCGGAAGACCCCCAGCGCGGCGGGGTCGGCGGGCCGGTGCAGCAGCCGGACGAAGCGGTGCCACCGCGTCAGGTCCCGCGGCTCGAAGCCGAGGAGGCGGCGGGTCAACCCGGGGCCGGTACCGGGCTCCTCGGCGGGAGGCGCGGAGGGACCCGGGGGGGGCGGGGGGGGGCCCCCCCGCTCCAGTCGCCTCCGCCGTGCTGGGCCTGCAGCGGGGAGGGGGGTCAGAGGTCAGAGGTCAGAGGGGGGGTGAGAGGGCACCGAGCCCCCCGCCCCGCTCCGCTCCGCTCCGCACCCGCCGCCGCCATCGCTGCAAGCCCCGCCCCTCCTCGCCACGTCATGGGGGCGTGGCCATCAAGGGCTCCGCCCCTCCGCGGGGGGCGCACTCCGCTCCCCCCCCCCCCCCCCCAAAAAAAAAAACTTAGCCCTTATCGCTCAGTGACACCCCACACACACACCCCCACCCGCGACCCCCCGGTCACCCGTGACCCCGCTCCTCCCGGTGCCTCCGCTCCCGGAAGCCCCGGGCGGGGTCAGGGGCGGGGTCAGGGGCCGCCGCGGGCCCCGGGAGGCGGCGGGAGCGGAGCGGAGCGGGGCCGGCCATGGTGGGACCGGGAGGGGGGGCCCGGGAGGGTGTCTGGGGGGTGCCCCGGGGGTCAGGGGGTTGTTTGGGGAAGTGCCCGGGGAGCCGGTGGGGGGGGTCTGGGGTACCTGGGGGGTGCCCGCAGGGGGTCTGGGGCACTTATGGGGTGTCTATGGGGTGGTTGGGGGGTGCACAGGGTGCCTATAGGGTGCTTGGGGGGCGTCCAGGGTGCCTGTAGGGTGCTTGGGGAAGTGCTTATGGGGTGCTTGGGTGGATATGGGGCACCTTTGTGGGTGCCCAGGGTGCCTGTAGGGTGTGGGGGGGGTCCCTGTGGGGTCTCCGGTGTGCATATAGGGCGTTCTGGGGTACATATGGGGTGCCTATGGGGTGCTTGCGGGGCTCGCAGGGTGCCTGTAGGGGGGTGGGGGGGGGTCCCTGTGGGGTCTCTGGTGTGCGTATGGGGGGTCTGGGGTATATATGGGTTGCCAAGGGGGTGCATATAGGGTGCTGAAGTGTGCCCGGGGTGCCTATAGGGCGCTTGGGGAAGTGCGTGTGTGGCATATCAGCTGCTTGGCACGTGTTTGGGGTGGACATGGGGCACCTATAGGGTGCTTGGGAGGTGTATATGGGATGTTTGGGGTGCTAGGGGTGTGCCCATGGGTGCCTATAGGGTGCTTGGGGTGACTACAAGGTGCTTAGGGAAATTCCCTGAGCATCATAGAGGGTGCTCGGCAGATGCTTGGGGTGTATGTGGGGTGCTTGGGGGGTGCCCAGGGTCCATAGAGGGTGCTTAGGCTGCATACAGGGTGCTGGGCGGTGCCCATGGGAGGCTTGGCAGGTGCTCAGGGTGCCTCTGGGGTGCTTGGGGTGTACCTTTGGGGTGCCTAGGGTGTGTGTCTGGGGTGCCTATGGAGTTCTTGGGGGGGGGGGCATATGGGGTGTCTAGGGTGCCTCTGGGGTTCTCAGGGGGGCATATGGGGTGTCTAGGGTGCCTGTGGGATGCTTGCGGGGTGCCCAGGGTCCATGGGGGGGGGGGGGGGTGCTTGGGGGGGTACCAGGTGTGGTGGAGGGTGTCGGGTCCCTCTGGGGCGCCCACCCTAAGACCTGCCCTGTGGTACCAGGCGGGGAGCGCGGCGGGCGGCGAGGCGGCGGGTGGCGGGCGCGTGCGGGCGCTGCAGCAGGAGGTGGAGGGCGTCAAAACCATCATGACCCAGAACGTGGAGCGGATCCTGGCGCGGGGGGAGAACCTCGAGCAGCTCCACAGCAAGAGCCAGGACCTGGAGGCCACCGTGAGGGCGAGGGGCACCGAGGGGGGGGAGACTGGGTCCCCAGGGTGGGCACAGGGTACCTAGAGGGGCAGAGGGTCCCTAAGGTGGGCATGAGGTCCCCAGGGTGGGCACAGGGTCTACAGCTTGGACACAAGGTCCTCAGGACATCGCCATGGGGTCCCCAGGGTGGGCACAGGGTACCTAGAGGGGCAGAGGGTCCCTAAGTTGGGCATGAGGTCCCCAGGGTGGGCACAGGGTCTACAGCTTGGACACAAGGTCCTCAGGACATCGCCATGGGGTCCCCAGGGTGGGCACAGGGTACCTAGAGGGGCAGAGGGTCCCTAAGGTGGGCATGAGGTCCCCAGGGTGGGCACAGGGTCTGCAGCTTGGACACAAGGTCCTCAGGACATCGCCATGGGGTCCCCAGGGTGGGCACAGGGTACCTAGAGGGGCAGAGGGTCCCTAAGGTGGGCATGAGGTCCCCAGGGTGGGCACAGGGTCTGCAGCTTGGACACAAGGTCCTCAGGACATCGCCATGGGGTCCCCAGGGTGGGCACAGGGTACCTAGAGGGGCAGAGGGTCCCTAAGGTGGGCATGAGGTCCCCAGGGTGGGCACAGGGTCTACAGCTTGGACACAAGGTCTTCAGGACATCGCCATGGGGTCCCCAAGTTGTCCACAGGGTCCCCAAGGTGGGAACAGGGTCCCCAAGGTGGGCACAAGGTCCTCAGGGCGTGACCATGGGATCTCCAAGTTGGGCACAGGGTCCTCAGGGGGGGCTCGGGATCCTCAAGTTGGGCACAGGGCTCCTGAGGTGGCACAGGGTCCCCAGGATGGGTATGGGGTCAGCAAGGTGGCACTGGGGCCCGGAGGTGGGTGCGAGGTCCCACAGTGGGTGCAGGGTCCCGTGGGTGGCACCATGTCCCCCAGGTGGGTGCGGAGTCCCTGGTTGGGTGCGATGTCACCCCGGGTGGCACGGGGTCCCTAAGGTGGCACCTTAGGGTTTGGGCACAAGGTCCTCAGGGTGGCCACAGGGCCCCTGGATGGAACTGGAACCCCCTGAGTGGCACTGGGTCTCCCAGTTGACACTGGGTCCCAGGGGGGGGCACAACATCCCCAGGGGGGTTCCGGGATAGGGGACACCAGGTCCCCTGGGGTGGCACCAGCTCCTCAGGCTGGTGCTGGGACCCCGGGGGGGGGGGACACAGACACAGACGACACAGAGTTGTGGGACACGAGGTCCCCAAGGGTGGCAGTGGGGTGGCCCCCCCACCCCATCCCTGAGCGGTGTCCCCACAGTCGGAGCACTTCAAGACGACTTCACAGAAGATGGCCCGCCGGTACTGGTGGAAGAACGTGAAGCTGCTCGTCATCCTCGGCATCGTGGGCGTCATCATCCTCATCCTCATCATCCTCCTGGCCACCGGCATCATCCCCACCTAGAGACCCCCTGTCCCTCCTCCACGGGGACTCTTCCCCCACCCCCCCACCCCCCCCGAGGTCACCCCCGCGTGGAATACAGGGGATGACGAGCTGCGTGGGGCTGAGCGTGTGTGTGTGCCGGGGGAGGGGACACACACGCACACGCGTGGGGACGGGCAGCGCGGGGGCGGGGAGCGGTGCCAGGCGGGCGGCTGGCGCCGGGGGGACAAAGGGCGCAGTGTGGTGGCACTGCCACCCGGGGGGGGGGGGGGGGGGGGGGGCCGGAGGCGGGGGGAGATATGGGGGGTCCTCAGGGGACCCAGGTATATGGGGGACATGGGAATCCCCGGGACAGTCACGTCTGGGGTGGGTTGGGGACATGTGGGTCCCCGAGGGGGTGTGTAGTCTTTGCGGGACCCGCGTCTGGGGGTTTTGGGGGCCGGGGGGTGCCTGAGTGTGTGTGTGTGGGGGGGGGTTATGGGGGACCCGGGGCGGGCTGCGAGGCCGGGGGTGACCGGGGAGGGGACACGGCCGGTCCCTGTTTGTGGCCGGATTGGGGGGGGGGGGGGGGAGGGGGGGGGGCGGTCGCCGGTCCCGGTCCCTCCCGCCGGGGGGGCGGCCGCTGGGAGCCGGGCGCTCCGGTACCGGCACCGACCCCGGTACCGGCACCGCCCCCGCGGGACCATGGTGAGCGCCGGGGGCTCCGCCGCCACTTTCGCTTTCACTTCCCGGTTTGGGGGGGGGGGGCGCGGGACGGACCGCCACGGTGGGAGACGGGACCCCCCCCCCCCCCGGGAGGTTTAGGGAGGGAGGGGGTGGGTGCCGGTGCCCCCGGGCTCTTCCCGCTGGCGGGTGGGACGCGGCCTCGGCCGGGGAAAGGGGGGGGGGTGGGTGTGTGTGTGACCCCCCGGGGACTTTCCGTGTCCCTGTGTGTCGTTGTTCCCGACCCCGGGATCCCCGCGTGTCCCAGCCCTGCCACCCCCCTGCGTGCCCCCGACCTCACAGTCCCCGTCTGCCCCGTCCCTGTGTCCCCAGCTGTCCCCATGGTGCCACTTCCCCGGGGTGCCCCTGGTCCCCCCTCCTCACAGTGCCTGTGCCCCCCCCCCCCCCCCACTGTGCCCTTGTCCCCATTGTCCCCCTTACCCCAGGCCACTCTTGCCCTATGTCCCCACAGACCCTCATGGCTCCAGTCACCCTATTGTTCCCCTTGTCCCCCCCTCCCGGGGGTGCCCGGGTGTCCCCCCCGTGTCCCCAGGCGGGGTTGGCGCAGTGCCAGCGCGAGGCTGAGGAGGTGACGGAGCTGATGAAGCAGAACTTCGCCCGGGCGCTGGAGCGGGACGGGCGCCTCGGCGACCTCGACAGCCGGGCCCAGGAGCTGCGCGCCATGGTGGGCACGCCCCGGCACCTATAGGGACATATAGCCCGGGGGGGAGACACTATAGGGACATATAGACTTTGGGGGGGGACACACACACACTCTGTAGGGATATACAGCCCTGGGACATGCACACTATAGAAATGTAGAGCCCTGCGGGGACACACTATAGGGATATAAAGTCCCAAGGGAAAGAATGTGGCCAGGGGGACACTATAGGGACTTATAGCCCCGTTAGAGGACACACTATAGGGACACGTAGACCTGTTGGGGGACACACTATAGGGGCATATAGGCCTGGGACGTGAACACTACAGAAATGTAGAGCCCTGGGGGGATGCACTATAGGGATATAAAGTCCCAGAGGAAAGAACGTGGCCAGGGGGACACTATAGGGACATATAGCCCCTGGGTGGGACACTCTATGAAGGCACACTATAGGGACATAGAGCCCTGGGGGCACACACTATAGGGGCATATAGACCTGAGGGGGACATCCACTATAGGGATATAAAGTCCCAGGAGAAAGAAGATGGCCAGGGAGACACCATGGGGACATAGACCCCGGGGAGGGGGGGGGGCCACTAAAGGGACATATAGCCCCCGGGGGGGACATGGTATAGGGACACACAGCCCTGCAGGAGGACAAACTATAGGGATATAAAATCCCAGGGGAAGGAACACGGCCAGGGGGACACTATAGGGACATACGGCCTGGGGGGGGGAACACACACACTGGTGGGGGTATCGCCCTGGGGGGACCTGCAGCTTCAGGGAGGGGGGACACTAGAGGGACATATACTCCAGGGGGATCATGGCTGGGGGAGATGCTATAAGGCCATACAGCTGGGGGGGGGGGGGCACTATAAGCCTATATGGCCGGAGGGGTACCTATAGGTGTGTGTGTGTGTGTGTCCCCCCCCCCCACGCTGTCCCCACAGGGCGAAACCTTCACCCGCAGCACGCGGGCGGTGGCACGGCAGCAGCGCAGGGGACACCGGCGCTGGCGCCTGGCGGCCATCGGCCTTGCCGCCCTCTTCCTCCTCCTCCTGCTCCTCCTCGCCCTCGGCCTCACCCTGTGGCTGCCACGGCCACCCCCCGCCATCGTCACTGTCACCGTCCCCCCCAGCACCCCTCCCAGCAGGTACTGAGCCCCTGGTGCCACAGGGAGCCTGACAGGACTTGGGGAGACCCTACAATAACAAACCGGCGGGAGCAGCTGTGAGGAGACCCCAAGATAACAGAGCAGCAGGACGATCGATCTCTGGGGAGACCCTACAATAAATAAGCACCAGGATCTGCTTCGGGGAAGACCCTACAATAACAAACCAGCAGGATGATCTTCAGGGAGACCCTACAATAACAAGCGTGCTGGACCCTATGATAAATAGGTGCCACAACCTGCTTTGGGGAGACCCTACAATAACAAACCAGCAGGACCCTCTCCGGGAAGACCCGACAACAACAGCTCTGTGGGATCTACTTCAGGGAGACCCTACAATAACAAACCACAGCGCCTTGCTCCCAGGAGACCCTACAATAACAAAGGGCCCTGATTCAGGGAGACCCTAACACAATAAACCAGCACTTTGAGGAGACCCTACCATAACAAAGCAGCAGGATGTTCTCTGGGGAGACCTTGCCATAAACAAGCACCAGGATCTGCTTAGGGGAGACCCTACAATAACAAACCAGCAGGACCAGCTCTGGGGACAGCCGGTCTGGTCTCCAGGTGCCAGCAGCCCAGGGTGGCGGGGAGGACAGGAGGGTGCTGTGGGACCTGGGAGGGGACCCCGGGGACGTGGTGACACGCAGAGAGGGGGACAGGCATACGGCACCCACACGGGGGTCACCCTGGCATCCATGGCAGGGGATGCTGAGCAATGAGGTGACACAGCAACACGCTGGGGTCCCCAAAAGCCTGTCTTGTGTGTCGTCCCCCCCCCACCCCGCTCCCTGTGCCTCAGTTTCCCCAAGCGCAGCCAGACACCAGAGCCTCGCAGCACCTTTACTGACACCGGGCAGCGGCTGTCACCCGTCCCCAGGGCTGGCAGTGTCCCCAGGGGGGTGGCAGTGTCCCCCCGGGAGTGGGGGGGCTGTGGCAATGTCACCCTGTCCCTCGGCGCTTGCTGAGCTCATCCTGTACCCGCTGGCAGAGGGCCCGGCGCAGGGCGGGCTCCAGCGGGCTCCGGGCGCACACCCGCCGCGTCACCTCCTCCGCGCTGTCTCCCTGAGGCACCCCGTCACCCACGGCAGCACCCACACCCACCCACCGGGCACCCACGGCACCCCCCCACCCACACCCATGGGTGCCCTGACTCCCCCTTCCCCACACACAGCATTCTCCCCCCCCCGGGTGCCCTGACTCTCCCTTCCCCGCACACAGCATCCCCCACCACCACCCATGGGTGCCCCCTGGACCCTGCCCAGCCGCCCCCCTGGGGGGGCGGGGGGGGGGGGGTTGGGGTGCCCGGATGCTGGGATCCCCACCTGGTGCACGATGACAGCGGTGACGCAGCCGTCGTCCCCCTCGTACTCCAGGCAGAAGAGCCGGGGCCCGCGGGTGTCAGCAGGGGGGGGGGCCCGGGCCAGCGTCTCCCCCGGGACCCCCTGGGGCACCTGAACCCTCAGGGAGAAGCCAGTGCCCCCCCCACCCCCAAATATGCACCATCACCCCCTTGGGTGCCCCCCATGTCCCAAGCTCACCCTGGCATGCTCCCCCCCACTTTAGGTGCCCCCCAGTCCCTGACCACCTTGGGTCCCCCCCCCCCGAGGTGTCCCCTCCTCCCCATGTCTCCCCTGGGTGCCCCCCCTCATGCCCAGGCCCATGCTGAGGACACCCCCCCCCCCATTTGTGTCCCCCCTCCTTGGGTGCTCCCCATCCCTCATTTGACCCCCCCCACCCCTCAGATTCAACCTCCCCCCCCCCCTCCACGGGTGCTCCCCTTCCTCCACGGGCACCCCACCCCCCCAGGACTACCTCCCTCACCCATACATGCCTCCCACCCGTGGGGGCTCCTCACTCCGTGGGGGCTCCTCACTCCGTGGGGGCAACCCCACCCCCACCCCCACCCCCGAGCCGTGCATGCCCCTCACGAGCACCCCCCCACCCGGGGGCGCCCCCGCTCCCACATTTGTTCCCCCCACCCGTGGGTGCCCCCCACCCCTAGGTGCCCCTCCCCCCCCCCAGGGCTACACCCCCACCCGTGGGTGCCCCCGCTCCCACATTTGTTCCCCCCACCCGTGGGTGCCCCCCACCCTTAGGTGCCCCTCCCCCCCCCCCGGGCTACACCCCCACCCGTGGGTGCCCCCGCTCACCGGGCCGCCGGGGCCGGTACACTTGCTGGTCGGGGCGGCGGGGCCTAGGGGGGGTCGGTGTGAGCCGCCCCCGCGCCCGCCCCCGCGCCTGCCGCACCGCCCGCTCGTAGGCGTCCCTGCGCACCGAACGGGGGGGGGGGGGGGGTGACCACGGTTGTCACAGGGGGCCCCAGGGCTGGCCCGGGGCCCGGGGAGGGCGGGGAACGGTGCCGGTACCTGGCGATCTGGTTGCGGCGGATGTGCCGCACGAAACCGTGGCTCATGTCGAGTCGCCCGCCCGGCCGGCAGCGCCAGCCCGCGGTCGCCTCCATCATCAGCCGCCGCCGGACCCGGTTTGGGAGGTGGGGGGGGGAAAGACCGCGGGCAGAGCCGCTCACCGGTAACAGGACACGGTCCCTTTAAAAGCCCCGCCGGCCGCCCGCGGGCGCGGCACGCATGCGCAGTAGCGGGGACGCGGCGGCCGCGCTACCGGCTGCGCGGCGGCGCGTGCGCAAAGAGGGCGGGGCGGGGTTGGGGCGGGGGGGGCCGCGCTTCCGCGCATGCGCAGCCGGCGGCGACGCGGGGTCCCGCCACGCCCCCCCCGCCCCTCCCGCCCCCGCGCATGCGCAGTGGGCGGGATGTCGAGCCGCGGGAAGCGGGAGCGGGACCGGGAGCGGGACCGGGACCCCCGGGCGGCCCCGCGGGGGGCGGCGGGCGGCGGCTCCTCCTCCTCCTCCTCTTCCTCGTCGCGGGGCTCGTCGCGGAGCCGCCGGGAGGGCGATGCGGAGCGGTCCAGGGGACGGCGGGAGGCGGAGCGGGACCGCGGGCGGCGGGAGGCGGCGGCGGAGGCGGGCCTGGCCCTCTCGCTCCCGGTGGATCCCGCCCGGATCAAGCGGGAGCCGGGGAGCGGTTCCTGGGGAGGCTCCGCCATCCCCACCGGCCCGGTGCGGGTCAAGCGGGAGCGAGAGCCTGACGGCGACTCCGATCCCGATCCCGAGCCCACCGGTGGGCACCGAGAGTGCGAGGAGGGGGGAACCGGGGACTGGGGGGGGGGAGGAACCGGGGTCTGGACACACACACACACACGGGGGGGGGGGGGGGCTGCACCCGGGTGTGCGGGGGGAGCAGCGGGGCTGATCCTGGGGGTCCCGAGCTCAGATCTGGGGAAAGGGGGGGAGGCACCGGGGGTCGGGGCGGGGAACCGAGGTTCCGAAATTTCCTCCATCTCCGGTGCGAGGCGTCACCCGAGCGCTAACGAGGCCCCTGCGCCCCCCCCCCCACAGTGCGCTACGGCCGTTTCGACCCCGAGGACCAGCGCAGCCGGCACTGCCCCTACCTGGACACCATCAACAAGTGAGCGGGGCGGGGGGAGGCGACGGGGCAGAGCGTTTTGGGGGTCCCCGGGGGGGGCCCTTCTGCCTCCTGGGAGTCCCCCCACGGGTTCCCCCCCCAGCCTGTCTGCAGCTCTGCCCCTATCCCAGGAGCGTCCTAGATTTTGATTTTGAGAAGCTCTGCTCCATCTCGCTGTCTCACATCAACGTCTATGCCTGCCTCGTCTGCGGGAAGTACTTCCAGGGTGAGAACCCCCCCAACCCGGGGACTGGGGGTGCTGCTGAGGGGGACACACAGGGGGCACACCCAGGGTCTGGGGTGCTGGGGGGGGGCACAGGGACAACCAGGGCCCAGGGGTGCTGCTTTGGGGCAGGGCACAGGGACCCTTGGGGTGGGCAGAAGCAGCGTCCAGGTGTGGGTGGGGAATTGTTTCTCTCCCATTGTCACTGTCTCCTGAGTTCCCCATCCCTCCTCTGGGGACTTGAGGCTCCCACCACCTGCCCCTTGAGCCCCCCCTGACCCCCCCCCCCCCCCCTTTCTCCCCCACAGGCCGCGGGCTCAAGTCTCACGCCTACATCCACAGTGTCCAGTTCAGCCACCACGTTTTCCTCAACCTCCACACCCTCAAGTTTTACTGCCTCCCTGACAACTACGAGATCATCGACTCCTCGCTGGAGGACATCACAGTGCGGCGGGGGCCGGGGGGGGGGGGTTCTGAGTGGTCCTGGGGGGCGAGGGGCGGGCGGCGTTCAGCTTCGTGTCCCCCCACTCTTTTCCGACGCGGTTTCTCTCCCGCAGTACGTGCTGAAGCCCACCTTCACCGCGCAGCAGATCACCAACCTGGACAAGCAGGCCAAGCTCTCCCGTGCCTACGATGGCACCACGTACCTGCCCGGCATCGTGGGGCTCAACAACATCAAAGCCAACGACTACGCCAACGCCGTCCTCCAGGTATCGCCGGCGGCGGCTCCAGGCTTCATTTTTGGGGTGAAACCCCCCCCCCTCCCCAAGGCTGGCAAGGATGCTTCCCAGCGTCTTTCCCGCAGGCTTTATCCAACGTGCCGCCGCTGAGGAATTATTTTTTGGAGGAGGAGAACTACAAGAGCATCCAGCGCCCGCCCGGGGACATCATGTTCCTGCTGGTGCAGCGTTTCGGGGAGCTGATGCGGAAACTGTGGAACCCCCGGAACTTCAAAGCGCACGTCTCGCCCCACGAGATGCTGCAGGCCGTGGTCCTCTGCAGTAAGAAGAACTTCCAGATCACCAAACAAGGTGGGGAGGGGGGGGGGGGGGGATGCTGGATCCAGCCCTCCCCCCGCCCCACACTGGTTCTGATTTACTCTGGTTCGTAGGGGATGGGGTGGACTTCCTCTCCTGGTTCCTGAACGCGCTCCACTCAGCCCTGGGTGGCACGAAGAAGAAGAAGAAGAGTGAGTGGAGGGTGATGAAGGCCCCTTATTCCCTTGGGGCACCCTTTTGGGTGACACTCAGCACCCCTGGACCCCGCCGACGTCTTCCTGTCCCCGCAGCCATCGTCACTGACGTCTTCCAGGGCTCCATGCGCATCTTCACCAAAAAACTGCCTCACCCAGATCTGGTGAGTATGTGGGGGTGCAGGGCGGGGGGTTCTTGCCCCCATGGGGGTCTACAAACCCCTCCTCTGAGCCCCATGTCCTGCAGCCGGCTGAGGAGAAGGCGCAGCTCCTGCAGAACACCGAGTACCAGGAGATGATGGTGGAGTCCACCTTCATGTACCTGACGTTGGACCTTCCCACCGCCCCGCTCTACAAGGATGAAAAGGAGCAGCTCATCATCCCCCAGGTCCCCCTCTTCAGCATCTTGGCCAAATTCAACGGTGCCACCGAGAAGGAGTACAAGACTTACAAGGAGAACTTTCTCAAGCGCTTCCAGCTCACCAAGCTGCCTCCCTACCTCATCTTCTGCATCAAGCGCTTCACCAAGAACAACTTCTTCGTGGAGAAGAACCCCACCATTGTCAACTTCCCCATCACGTGAGTGGTGAAGGCCCCTGGGTGGGCACTTGGGGGTACCCTGTGTCCCTTTCTTTGGGCCCCGTTGTGAGTTTGATTGAAAGTGTTGAGGATGGGTTAATAAGAATCTGGAGGAGTTTGGAAGCATCTAGGAGAGGTTTGGAAGCATGAGGGGTTTGGAAGCATCTAGGAGGCATTTGGAAGCATCGGGGGGGGGTTTGGAGGCATCATGGGGGGTTTGGAAGTGTCTAGAAGGCATTTGGAAACATCTGGGGAGGGATTGGAAGCATCTGGAGGGGATTGGAAGCATCTGGAGGGGGTTGGAAGCATCACGAGGGAGTTTGGAAGCATCTGGGAGGCATTTGGATGCATCTGGGGAGGTTTGGGAGCATTGTGGCAGGGTTTGGAAGCATCCGGGGAGGGGTTGGAAGCATCTGTGAGGTATTTGAAAGCATCTGGGGGGGGTTGTGGGAGTTCCTCTGGGGTTTGGGTGGTGGTGCCACCCAGCTGAGGGGCGCGGGGTGCCCGGCGGTGCCCCCCAGGAACGTGGACCTGCGGGAGTACCTGTCGGAGGAGGTGCAGGCGGCGCACGCCAACACCACCTACGACCTCATCGCCAACATCGTGCACGACGGGAAACCCTCCGAGGGCTCGTACCGCATCCACGTGCTGCACCACGTGAGTGTCCCTTGTCCCCGGGGGTGGCAAGGGGGGGGTGTGTGTGTCGTGTCGTGTGTCCCCCCCCCCGCCCGGTGTCACCTCTGTCCCCGGCGCAGGGCACCGGGAAGTGGTACGAGCTGCAGGACCTGCAGGTGACCGACATCCTGCCGCAGATGATCACCCTCTCGGAGGCATACATCCAGGTGCAGTGACAGCAAGGGGGGGTGCTCCCCGGGGGTCGCTTGTCACCCCCCCAAACAAAATTCCCCCCTCATCCCCCCCCCTAACCCCCCCCCCCCACCCCGCTCCGTTGCAGATCTGGAAGCGACGCGAGGAGGATGAGACCAACCAACAAGGCGCCTGAGTCCCGTGGGGACGCTCTCCTGCCCCCCTGGGGACGCTCTCCTGCCCCCCCTGGGGGGCATCCACAGCCCCCCCACCCGGGGGCACCCATAACCCTCCCCCCATTAAAGGCCACCCCTTGTATTTTTGTAACCGTTTTCCGCCTTCGCTTCTCTTTGGGTGTGTGGGGGTGATGGTTTTCACAGCGTCTGGGGAGGTGCGAAAACCCACCCGCTTTCCAAGAAAGCTGCCCGCACCCCCTCACCCCACATCACACCCTGTCACACACCACACACCCCCCCCGCCCCAAAACACCCTAAAAAACTGGGGAAACTGAGGCAGGGATTCAAGCTTTATTTGGGGGGTGGGAGGGCTGCTCCTGCCCCCCTCTATGCCCAGACGTGCTCCTGGCAGTGCTGCAGAGCCTGGGGGAGAGCAGAAGGGGGGGGGGTGGTGAGTTTTGGGGTGAAGTGGATGACAGGACCCCCACCCACCACTCTTGTCCCTTTTGTCCCACCCCCTACCTTGCCCCCAACTCACCTGGCAGCGGCGGGCGGCCTCGGGGCTGGAGCACCAGTAGGTCGGGCCCAGGGCGCAGGGTCCCAGTTTTGGGGACGGGGCGGGGAGGGCGTGGCCTGGTCCCAGGTCCTATAGGGTGGGGACACGGGTGTCGGGGAGGGGGGTTCCCCCACTAGCCCCCCCGGGATGGGGACACCCCCCAGGGAAGCCCGCCCCGGGGCTCTGATGTCCTCAGTGCGTCCCCTTGGGGCTGCGACACTCTCAGTGCCCCCCGCCTTGGGGGGGGCCTGTGTCTGGTGACACCCTTGAGTGTGTCCCGTGGGGGCTGTGACACCTTTGGGGACCCCGACATGTTCTTGGTGGGTGTGACACCTTTTTGGGGGCCTCACTGTGTCCCCAGGGGTTGTGGCACTCCTGGGCTGTGTCCCCTGGGGCTGTGACGCCCCACGACGTGTCCCTTGGGGCTGTGACACCCCAGGAGATGTCCCTGGGGCTGTGACACCCCACGACGTGTCCCCTGGGGGCTGTGACACCCCAGGAGATGTCCCTGGGGCTGTGACACCCCACGACGTGTCCCCTGGGGGCTGTGACACCCCAGGATGTGTCCCTGGGGCCTGTGACACCCTTTGGGTCCCTCCCACATCCCTTGGGGCTGTGACACCCCAGAATGTGTCCCTTGGGGCTATGACAACCTTTAGGGTCCCTGGCATGTCCCCTTGGGGCTGTGACACCCCAGGACGTGTCCCTGGGGGCTGTGACACCCTTTAGGGTCCCTGGCATGTCCCCTGGGAGCTGTGACACCCCAGGATGTGCCCCTGGGGCCTGTGACACCCTTTGGGTCCCTCCCACATCCCTTGGGGCTGTGACACCCTTTAGGGTCCCTGGCATGTCCTCTGGGGGCTGTGACACCCCAGGACGTGTCCCTGGGGGCTGTGACACCCCAAGACCTGTCCCTTGGGGCTATGACAACCTTTAGGGTCCCTGGCATGTCCCCTGGGGGCTGTGACACCCCAGGATGTGTCCCTGGGGGCTGTGACACCCTTTGGGTCTCTCCCACATCCCTTGGGGCCGTGACACCCCAGGATATGTCCCTGGGGGCTGTGACACCCTTTAGGGTCCCTGGCATGTCCCCTGGGGGCTGTGACACCCTTTGGGTCCCTCCCACATCCCTTGGGGCCGTGACACCCCAGGATATGTCCCTTGGGGCTGTGACACCCCAGAATGTGTCCCTGGGGGCTGTGACACCCTTTAGGGTCCCTGGCATGTCCCCTGGGGGCTGTGACACCCCAGAATGTGTCCCTTGGGGCTATGACAACCTTTAGGGTCCCTGGCATGTCCCCTGGGGGCTGTGACACCCCAGAATGTGTCCCTGGAGGCTGTGACACCCTTTAGGGTCCCCGTCATGTCACCTGGGGGTTGTGAGACCCTGGAGCATGACCCCTGGGGCTGTGACACTATCAGGTGCCCTGTCACCCAAAGGGGGTGTGTGTGTGTGTCCCCCTCCCGCCCCCCCGGCCCCTCCCCTGCTCACCTCAGCGCCGGCACACGAAGCCGCCGGGGCCACCGTGTCCCCGAGGGGCCTCCAGGGAGGTGACAGCGGGGCGGCCCCGTCCTCGGGGCGGCAGGAGAGAAGCAGGTGACAGAGCAGGCGGGGGGCCAGGCGCCCCAGCACCACTTCCAGCGCCAGCACCGCATACCGCTCCGCCAGGCACTGGCACGCGCCCGCCACCACCACCGGCAGCGCCCGGCACAGCCCCGCGGCCACCGTGGCCACCTTCTCCTTGGGGACAGAGGCCTCGGCGCGGGCCAGGAAGGTGCGGCAGAGCCAGCACAGTGGCATGGGCACGGGCAGAGCCTTGCCGGCAGCGACCTGGGGACGGGCGTTCACTCTGGAGGCTAATGGTGGGGCTGCGGCTGTGCTTGTGCCGCAAGACTCTGGGGCGCCCAGCATCGTGTTTGTGTCCACGGAGCCACCCACGGAGCCACCCACGGAGCCACCCACGCCTGTGCCGATGGCCCCGGGCACCCACCGCCCCAGCCCCGACGAGCTGTACCTGCAGGCGGGCGCTGAGTGCCCCAAGGGGGGGCACGGCCGGGGCCCCCCCGGGCTCACCCGGACACAGCTCCAGGCGGGCACAGATGGCCGAGGGCTTCTGGGGGGACAGGGTGAGGGCACCCAGCGTGGGGCAGCCCGCACCCCAAGGTGACCCAGGTGGCACGGTGTCCCCAAGTGTCCCCAGACGGATGACGTCCCCAGTTCCCCCAGCACCCTGAGGTGTCCCCAGCTGGCATGGTGTCCCCAATCCCCTCAGCACCTCAGGGTGTCCCCGGATGGCATGGTGACCCCCAGCACCCCGAGGGGTTCCCAGCTAGCATCATGTCCCCAATCCCCCCTGCTTGGCACGGTGTCCTCAAGCACCCCGAGATGTCCCTGGCCAGTGCAGTGTCCCCAGTCCCCCCCCAGCACCCTGAGGTGGCTGCAATCAACATGGTGTCACCAAATCCCCCCCCTTCCCCAGCACCCCAAGGTGTCCCCAGCTGGCACAGTGTCCCCAAGCACCCCAAAGTGTCCTTGATACCCCCCAGCACCGTGCCCCCAGTTGGCACCTTGTCCCTGATACCACCCAGCACCCCCAGGTGTCCCCAGCTGGCATGATGTCCCCCAGCACCCTGAGGTGTCCCCAGCACCCTGAGGTGTCCCCAAACCCCCTCCCAGCACCCTGACGTGTCCCCAGCACCCTGAGGTGTCCCCAAACCCCCTCCCAGTACCCTGAGGTGTCCCCAGCACCCTGAGGTGTCCCCAAACCCCCTCCCAGTACCCTGAGGTGTCCCCAGCACCCTGAGGTGTCCCCAAACCCCCTCCCAGTACCCTGAGGTGTCCCCAAACCCCCTCCCAGCACCCTGACGTGTCCCCAGCAACCTGAGGTGTCCCCAAACCCCCTCCCAGTACCCTGAGGTGTCCCCAGTACCCTGAGGTGTCCCCCAAACCCCCTCCCAGTACCCTGACGTGTCCCCAGCACCCTGAGGTGTCCCCAAACCCCCTCCCAGTACCCTGAGGTGTCCCCAGCACCCTGAGGTGTCCCCAAACCCCCTCCCAGTACCCTGAGGTGTCCCCAGCACGCTGAGGTGTCCCCAAACCCCCTCCCAGTACCCTGAGGTGTCCCCAAACCCCCTCCCAGTACCCTGAGGTGTCCCCAGCACCCTGAGGTGTCCCCAAACCCCCTCCCAGCACCTTGAGGTGTCCCCAGCACCCTGAGGTGTCCCCAAACCCCCTCCCAGCACCCTGACGTGTCCCCAGCACCCTGAGGTGTCCCCAAACCCCCTCCCAGCACCTTGAGGTGTCCCCAGCACCCTGAGGTGTCCCCAAACCCCCTCCCATCACCCTGAGGCGTTCCTGGATGGCATGGTGTCCCCCAGAACCCCTGAGGTGTCCCCAGCTGGCCTGATGTCCCCAATTCCGCCCCTCCCCCCTCTCCCCTCAGCACCCTGCGCCACCTCCACCCACCCACCACAGCACCCACGGGTGCCCACTCACGAGGTGCCCCTGGAGGTCATCAAGGAGGAGGCTGAAGTACTCGTGCACCAGGTTTTGGCAGGGCGGCACCATGGTGGGCACCGGCAGCGCCGCGCACTCCCGCCGCAGGAAGCGCTCCACGGCCGCCTGCACCCACAGCCACCATGGCACCCACGCCGGCACCCGCGGGGGCGGCCACCCTCCACCCACCCCGTGCCCACCCCATCCCCCTGGACACCTTGGTGGCCGACTCGTTGGCCATGCGGGTGAGGAGGGTGACGATCTGCTGGCAGTCGGAACAGATGTCCTGCGAGGGGTGGCACCAGGCGCGGGGACATGGGGACACGGGTGACTTGGGGACACACGGCATGGGGTGTAGGAGGTGGGGAAGTGAATTTGGGGACATCGGGACATAAGGTGTGGGGACAAGGGGCATGGGGACATGAGGACATGCAAATGTGTGGCGTGACGACGTGGGGGAATGGGGGACATGGGGGAATGGGGACACAGGGACATAGGGACATGGGAGACTGGGGATACAGGGACGTGGGAAAATGGGGATACGGGGACATGGGGCCATAGGGGACCTGGGGATGTGGGGGAATGGGGACACAGGGACATGAGGACATGGGATAATGGGGACATGGGATATGGGGACATGGGATATGGGGACATGAGGACATGGGATAATGGGGACATGGGATATGGGGGAATGGGGACATGGGGACATGAGGACATGGGGGAATGGGGACACAGGGACATGGGGGAATGGAAGAACGGGGCCATGGGTGCCATGAGGACATGGGAGAATGGGGACATGGGGGATGTGAGGACATGGGACATGGGGACATGAGGACATGGGGGAATGGGGACAGAGGGACATGGGGACATGGGGGGGCACTGAGAGGTGGGGACATGGGGACACAGGGACATGGTGGACACGGTAGGCGGGGTGTCTGGCATAGGTATGGGCATGGGGGACACAGGGTTGTATGGGGACACCCGGGGGGGTATGGGGACAAAAGGAGGGGTCACGGGGACAGGCGCGAGGGGCTCTCACCATGGCGGGGGGTGCCCAGGCCAGGCGGGCACAGCGCCCCAGGGCCCCACAGCGCAGTGCCGTCTCCCAGCTCTGGCACCAGGCGGGGGGGGGCACCCCACAGTGCTCCCCCGGCACCCCCAGACCTGCAGCTGCCGTCAGCACCCGGTACCGTGTGTCCCCCCCCCGCCTGGTGGGGCACCCAAGGTGTCTGGGACCCCCACCCCAACACTCACCCTTCCCCCCCCAAGGAGTCCCATCCCACGCCCCAGCCCTCACGGGGGGACCCAAACATCCAGGACACCCCTCCCCGATGCCCCCCCCCTCACTGTCCCACCCAACCCAAGACCCCAAGAGGGGACCCAGGCATCTGGGACATCCTCACCCCCCCCCCAGCCCCCCCCCCCCCCCCCCATCCTCAAGAGGGGACCCAGGTGTCCAGGCCCTTCACTCTTAATGTGGGTCCCTCCCCACCCCAGCCCCCCCCCCCCCCCCCCCCCCCAACTTTAGGGCTCATGGGGAGGGTGCACCCAACTCGGAGGGTGCAGCCAGCTCTAACGGGGGAGCACCCAGCTTGGGGGGGGCACCCAGCTCTGGGGGGACACCCAGCTCTAGTGGGGGAGCACCCAGATCTGGGGGGACACCCAGCTCTAACGGGGGAGCACCCAGCTTTGGGGGGGCACCCAGCTCGAATGGGGAAGCACCCAGCTTTGGGGGGGTCACCCAGCTCTGGGGGGACACCCAGCTCTAGCAGGGGAGCACCCAGCTTGCGGGGGCACCCAGCTCTAACGGGGGACCACCCAGCTTTAGGGGGGGCACCCAGCTTGGGGGTACACCCAGCTACAGTGGGCTTGCACCCAGCTTTGGGGAACACCCCCACCGGTTTTAGGGGTGCCCCCCCAGCCGAGGGGCGCGGTGGGGGGGGCCCCTACCTGGGATGGCAGAGAGCAGGGCGAGGAGGAGTGCCAGCGCGGGTGACGGTGGCCGTGCCATGACGGTGCTGGCAGGGCCGAGCCCCGCGGCCTCTTATAGCCCCGGCGGGAGGTGGCGGCTGGGTCGGTGCCAGCACCGCGGGGACACGTGTGTCCTGGCCATGGGGACACCCCGGGGGGGGGGGCTGCCACCCCATGTCCCTGCCGCTGTCCCCCCTGCCCCCCCGGCCATGTCCCCATCGGGGTCCCCGCGTCCCCCCCATCCCACCCCGGGTGTCCACGGTGGCGGGGGAACAGACACGGTGCCACTCCTGCGGTGGCACTTTATTGAGCTGGGAGGGATGGGGTGGCTCGGGACACGGGGGGGGGGGGACACACACGGTGTAGGGGACGTTGGTGGCATCGGGTGGCCTTGGAGCTGGCTGGTGCCTGGAGGGGGAGAGGTGGCTGTGGAGACAGGGCACTTGCGGGCACCGTGTCCCCATCCCCCATTCTGTCCCCACGTGCCCACTCCCCCATGTCCCCTGTCCTCGCACACCCCCATGTCCCATGCCCCCTCCATGCTCCCCATGTCCCCGTGTCCCACACCCCCATGTCCCCACACCCCCATGCTCCCATGTCCCCAAGCACCCAAGTCCCCCGTGTCCCCACACCCCCATACCCCATGTCCCCATACCCCCCCATCCCCCCATGTGCCCCCATATCCTCATGTCCCCATACACTGATGCTCCCATGTCCCCAAACCCCCATGTCCCCCCACACCCCATGTCCCCATGTCCCCCCACACCCCCATGTCCTCTGTGTCCCCATGTTCCCGTACCTCCATGTCGATGTGTCCCTGTACTGCCATGTCCCCACATCCTCATGCTCCCCCACACCCCCTCATACCCCCACGTCCCCCCCTTGTCCCTGTACCCCCTCATACCCCCACATCCCCACACCCCCGTGTCCCCGCCACGTCCCCATGTCCCTTCATACCCCCACATCCCCATAACACCCCACATCTCCCCATGTCCCCACATCCCCACATCCCCCCGTTTCCCATGTCCCCTCATACCTCCACATCCCCACAACCCCATGTCCCCTTATACCCCCCACGTCCCCCCCTTGTCCCCATGTCCCCTCAACACCCCCCCACCCCCATGTCCCCATACCCTTATGTCCCCCCGTTTCCCATACCCCCATACCCCCACATCCCCATGTCCCCACGCCCCCACGTCCCCCCCTTGTCCCCATGTCCCCTCAACACCCCCACATCCCCATGTCCCCACACCCCCATGTCCCCCCCCTTGTCCCCATGTCCCCTCAGACCCCCATATCCCCACAATCCCACGTTCTCACACCCCCACATCCCCCCATGTCCCCACCCCCCCCACATCTCCCTGTTTCCCGCGTCCCCTCATACCCCCATGTCCCTGTGTCCCCTTATACCCCCATGTCCCCCCCTTGTCCCCATGTCCCCACACCCCCACATCCTCACACCCCCATGTCCCCACACCCCCACGTCCCCTCATGCCCATGTCCCCCCTTGTCCCCACACCCCCACATCCCCATGTCCCCACACCCCCACGTTCCCACTCCCCCACGTCCCCCCATGTCCCCTCATGCCCATGTCCCCCCTTGTCCCCACACCCCCACAACCCCATGTCCCCACACCCTCACGTTCCCACTCCCCCACGTCCCCCCATGTCCCCTCATGCCCATGTCCCCCCTTGTCCCCATGTCCCCATCCCCCCGTTTCCCATGTCCCCACACCCCCGCGTCCCCATGCCCCCCCTCGTCCCCCTCCACAGCCGCACCCATGGGTGCGTGTGTGTCCCCCCCCCTTGCCCCCCTTCCCGTCAGGGCTCTGAGGTGCCGCGTCCCCACCCTCCCCTCGAGAGCCCTCGTGGGCCGGGCACGGCCATGCCGCCCGCCCGTGTCCCCTGCGGGGTGCTGGGGGGGGGGGGGTTTGGGGGGTGTCACCTGCCTCAGGGCTGCGGGGGGCACCAGCGCAGGTGGGCGCAGAGGTGGGCGGGGGTCTGGTGCCGCCTCAAGGCCCCCTCGATGGGCGCCAGGGCACGGAGCAGCAGGCGACGGCACAGCCCGGCCCCCACGCGCAGCTGCCCGCACACGAGGTGGGTGACAAGTGCCACCCCCCCCTGTGACACGCGTCGTCAGCACCCACCGTGGTGGGGGGGGACACACGGACACGAGGTGGGGACACACCGTTTTGCACCAGGGGCTGTGCACAAGGGGCGTCGCTGCACGCAGGGGTTTTGGCGGGGGGGGGGGGGGGGGGGGAGATCGCCTTGCACGAGGGTGTTGCACGAGGGGCATCCCCTTGCACGGGGGCTTTGCACGGGGCCGGCACATGGCAAAGGTGGGGGAGCATCATCTTGCACAAGGGCGTTGCACGAGGGGCATCACCTTGCACGGGGTCGGTACACAGCCGGGGGGGGGGGGGCATCATCTTGCACGTGGGTGTTGCACGAGGGGCATCACCTCACACAGGGGCTTTTTACGGGGGGGGGGACATTGCATGGGGGGGTTGGGGATCACCTTGTACAAGGGCGTTGCACGAGGGGCGTCACCTCACACAGGGGATTTGCACGGGGGGGTGGGATCACCTCGCACAAGGGCTTTGCACGAGGGGGCGTCACCTTGCATGGGGGCTTTGCACAGGGTCGGTACAGGGGGAGGGGGCATCATCTTGTAAGGGTCATCATCTTTGCACAAGGGTCATGGCATGAGGGGGTGCGTCTTGCACGGGGGGGGCATCGCATGGGGCGGGGGGGGCGTCATCTTGCACAAGGGCCTTGCACGGGGGTGTTGCACAGGCCTTACACGTGGCATCGCACAAGGGGGGGAGGCATCGCCTTTACATGAGGGTGGTGCACTAGGGGGTGGGGGGATGTGGGGGGGGGGGTATAGGGGGGGGGGGTGTCCCACCCTGTCTCACCTTGTCCTTGCGGTTGACCACAATGTCCCTGAGCGCCGTCATCACCCACTTGCACAGATGACAGCGCACGGTGCCGGTGGGGAGCCCCCCCCCGCTCTGCACACCCCCACTTCAGCACCCACTGCCGGCCCAGTGCCCCCAGTACCCCCCCAGTGCCCCTCAGTGCCCCCCCAGTGCCCCCCAGTACCCCCCCAGTGCCCCTCAGTACCCCGCTAGTGCCCCCCAGTACCCCCCTAGTGCCCCCCAGTGCCCCTCAGTGCCCCCCAGTACCCCCCCGTGCCCCTTAGTGCCCCTCAGTGCCCCCCAGTACCCCCCCAGTGCCCCCTAGTACACCCCCGTGCCCCTCAGTGCCCCCCAGTGCTCCCCTAGTGCCCCCCCAGTGCCCTCCAGTACCCCCCCAGTGCCCCTCAATGCCCCCCAGTGCCCCCCCAATCCCTTTCTTGATGCCCACCCCAGGCCCCCTTGGGTGCCCCCCCAAACCAGTACCTGCCCAGACGCCCATGGGTGCCTCCCTCTACGGATGCTCCACACACACACCCCACACCCCCCCCCCCCCCCCCCGTGTGCTCCCCGCCACATCCCCTCACCATGATGTCATCATCACTCAGCTGGAGCTCGTCCTCGGTGTCGGGGGGCTGCTGGTACCCCGGGATGCCCGGCCAGGGCCCCCCAGCACCCACTGACAGGGTGTCCAGGGGGGGCCCCTCGGCCTCCGCCAGCGTCAGGGCTGGGCAGTGCCACATCAGGGGACACGTCCCCGCATCCGCTCCCCTAACCCCATGTCCCCTCCTGTCTCCATCCCCCCATGTCCCCAACCACCCCCATGTCCCTGTCACCCCAATGCCCCCCACCCTCCTGCACCCCCACATCCCCATCTCTCCCATGTCCCCATGCCCCCCATGTCCCCTTCCCCCCCATGTCCCCTTCCCCCCCATGTCCTCATCCCCTTTTTGTCCCCAACCCTCCATGTCTCCCCATCCTCCTGCCCTCCCCCACGTCCCCATCCCCCCATGTCCCCAGATCCCTATCACCCTGGCCCCCATGTCCTCCATGTCCCCATCACCCCCATGTCCCCCTCCCTGTCCTCGCCGCCCCCCCGTATCCCCCCGCCCTGCCCCCGCTGGTGTCCCCACCCGTGACCCCAGCAAGCAGGGCCAGCAACAGTGGGGACATGGTTGCCCATCCCCAAGCCCCAGGGTTCATTTATGTCCCCGCGGAGTGGGGGTGGCACCCATGGTGACAGCAGGAAGGGCCCCCCCCCCAAAACCACGGCGGCCACAGTGTGTGGGGGGGGAGGAGGCTGGGGGGCCCCAGGCATCCGGGAATAGTGGCCCCTGGTCACGTCTGCTGGGGGGCTGTGAATGCCCTGGGGGGGACAGGGGGGACATGGGGGGCTGGAGGGGACAGAGGGTGCTTGGAGGTGGGGGGAGCCCCTGGGGACCTGGGGGAGCTTTGGGGGGGACACGAGAGGTGGACATGGGGGACACTGAGGGGACACTGGGGGGGACACAAGAGGTGGCCAGGGGGGCCTGAGGGGCATTGGGGGGACACTGGGGGGGACACAAGAGGTGGCCATGGGGACCTGGGGGACACTGGGGACACGAGGGGTGGCAACCCAGGAGACTTTACAGACCTTGGGAGGTGTGTGGGGTCCTGGGGGGATGGGGGGGGGGACAAGGGGCCACTGTGGAGACCTGGGGGGACTTCAGGGATTGGGAGGAGAGAAGGGGACACCACGGGGTCCTGGAGGAGGTGGGGGGTGCAAGGAGAGGGTAGAGGGACATGAGGGCACTGGGAGGACTGGGACAAGGTGGGAGCTGGGGGGGGGGGAGCTGGGGGGGGGCCTGGGGGGGGCAAGGGGAGTGATGGGGTGTCATGGGTGGGGCCGTGTTACCCTCCTGTTCCCAGCAAGTCCCAGCGCCACCACAAACCCCAAACCCACCGGAAAAGGGGGGGAGCCGGGGGTGGGGGGGTTCTGTCCCTGTCCCTGTCCCTGTCCCCAACCCTGCCCCCCCTTCCTGTCCTCGTCCCCCCCCTCCCTGTGAAGCCACAAACCTCCGTCACCCCGGTCCCCCCCCTTCCCCTGCGGCAGCAGCAGGAGGTGGGGGGGGCACGGCGGGAAGGGGGCCCAGGGCAGATTCCCGCCAGTCTCATTCGGGGGTGATGCCCCCCCCCCCAACTGCCCCAGTGCCCCCAGCACCCCCCTGCCCTCACTTCTCCCCACTGCCCCCAGTATTACTCCCATTCCCCCAATTCCTCCAGCACCCCAATTACCCAGTGCACTCAGTGCCCTCCCTAGGATGTCTCAGTACCCCCAGTACCTCCCAGTACCCCCCAATAATGCCCAGTACCCCCCAGGATCCACTAGTTCCCCCCAGTGTCCCCCATTACCCTCAGTGCCTCTAGTACCACTGGGTACTCCCCAGTAATGCCCCGTACCCCATTACCCCTAGTATCCCCATTAGCCCCACTGTCCCCATTAACCCCAGTACCCCCAGTTTCCCCCGGTACACCCTGTTACCCCCCAGTACCCCCAATAACCTCCGGTATCCCCCAGCGCACTCACCTCCCCCTCCCAGTGGCCTCATCACACCCCGGATCCCCCCGTGCCCACAGCAATCCCCGATACCCTCCACTGCCCCAGAGCCCCCCAGTATCCCCCGGCGCTCCTGCCATCCCCACCAGTACCCCAGTTTCCCCAGCTTCCCCCAGCACCCCGTGTTACCCTCCAGTGCTCCCAGTACCCCCAACAAACCCCATTACCCTCCAGTTATCCCCAGTACCCCCCAGTGCCCCCACTACCCCTCAGTATCCCCCAGCGCCCCCCGTTACCCCGCAGTGCTCCCAGTACCCTCAGTGAGCCCCACAACCCCCCAATTATCCCCATTGCCCCCCAATTATCCCCATTGCCCCCCCTTATCCCCCCGCATCCCCCGCGTCCCCTCCGTGCCCCCCGTTTCTCCCCCGGTAGCGCCATTCCTCCCCCGCGGCCTCCAGCCGCCAGGGGGCGCTGCCGCCCCGCCCCGGGCCAAGATGGCGGCGGCCGCGGCTGCTCGCGCGGTGCGGGTGAGGGAGGGGACGGGGGGGGGGGGGGGGACACGGGGGGTGCGGGGACACGGGGTGCGGGGACACGGGGAGTGCGGGGACACGGGGAGTGAGGGGGGACACGGGGGGTGCGGGGACACGGGGTGTGGGGACACGGGGTGCGGGGGGCGGGGACATGGAGGGTGCGGGGGGCACCAGGGGCTCCAGGCCTGTGGGGATGGGGGCGTGGGAGGCCCTGGGGACACTGGGAGTGGGGGGGACACTGGGTATGGGGGGACACTGGGGTCACTGGGAGTGGGGGACACTGGGGACACTGGGGACACTGGGTATGGGGTCACTGGGGACACTGGGTATGGCACATCCTGGGGACATTGGATATGGGAGACACTGGGGACATTGGATATGGGAGACACTGGGTATGGGGGGACACTGGGAATGGGGGGACACTGGGGTCACTGGGAGTGGGGGACACTGGGGACACTGGGTATGGGGGGACACTGGGGTCACTGGGTATGGGGGGACACTGGGGTCACTGGGAGTGGGGGACACTGGGGACACTGGGTATGGGGGTCACTGGGGACACTGGGGACACTGGGTATGGGGGGACACTGGGGTCACTGGGAGTGGGGGACACTGGGGACACTGGGGACACTGGGTATGGCACATCCTGGGGACGTTGGATATGGGAGACACTGGGTATGGGGGGACACTGGGTGTGGGGGGTGTGGGGCCCCAGGGGCACGGGGTATAGGGCACGCCTGGTGTGTCAGGGGCACTGGGGACACTGGGGTCGCTGGGGATGGGGGGCACCGGGGACAGCAGGGCCGGGGAAGGTGGGGGGCAGGAGGTGTAGGGGACGGGAGGGCCGGGGGGTCACCGGTTGCAGGAGGCTCCAGGGGCACCACGGGGGGGGCAGGGGGTCCCGGGGCTGGGGGGGGGCTCTGGGGACACTGGCTGTCGGGGGCCCAGGGGACCAGGCAGGGCCAGCCCACCCCTGCCCCCCCCCTCACCCCTCTCACCCCCCCAGGCCGTGCCCCACATCCGCCCTGTCCCCGAGGCCACCCGGCACCTCCACACCACCCCCGCCTGCCTCAAGGTAAGCCCTGGGGGTGCCCCCCCCTCCCCTACCCTCAGGGACCCCCCTCCCCTGATGCCACTGTTCCCACAGACACGGGCGGCGCGAGTGCGCGTGGGCAAAGGGGACAAGCCGGTGTCCTACGAGAAGGCACATCCACCCCACTACATCGCCCACCGCAAGGGCTGGCTCTCCCTGCACACGGGTGGGCCATGGGGGGGATGGGGAGGGGGGGGCTGTGGGGCACGGGACGCCTGTGGACATCGTGGGGATGGGCTCTGTAGGGTGTTGTGGGGCCAGGGACCTGTGGGGCACACGGGCGTCACAGGGATGGGACACACAGGGACAAGGCTACACGGGGCATGAGGGTGCTGTGGGGATGGGCCATGGGGCATCATGGGGACAGGGACACGTGGGGCATGAGGGAAATGTGGGGGTGGGCCACAGGAGAGCATGGGGATGGGGACACATGGGGCACGAGGGAACTGTGGGGACAGGCCACGGGGCATTGTGGGGATGGGGACACATGGGGCACAAGGGCACTGTGGGGACTGGGATGTGTGGGGCACGCAGACACTGTGGGGAGGGGACACACGGGCAGCGTGGGGACAGGGGTGCGTGGGGCACGAGGGTATTGTGGGGATGGGGACACGCAGGGCTCATGGGTATTGTGGGGACAGGGACGTGTGGGGCATACGGCCCTGGCGGGCTCGGGGCGGTGTGGGGCCGGCATCACCTGGCAGGGTGCGGGGGTGCCGGTGCCAGCCCTCCCCGTGCCCGCAGGGAACCTGGCCGGGGAGCTGGGCGCGGCGGAGCGGGCGGTGGAGGACGCTTTCCTGCGCCGCTTCCTCAGCGGCACCTTCCCTGGCATCCTGGCGACCGAGGTCGTGCTGAAGCGCCGCGCCAACCTCCTGGTGATCTGCGCCGTGCTGGTGCGGGGCCTGGCGCCCGCCAAGCTCCACTTCTTGGTGGGCTACACCGAGACCCTCCTCAGCCACTTCTACAAGTGCCCCGTGCGCCTGGAGCTGCAGACGGTGCCCACCAGGGTGGTCTACAAGTACCTCTAGTGCCCGGCGCTGCCACCCCGGGCTGGGAATAAAGCCGGGGTCTGTGCCCACCCTGCCCCGCCTGTGGGTCTTACAGGGGTTGGGGGGGGCATCCTGGCGCTGGAGGGTCCTGGCCCCGCAGTGTCTCTGTGCCCCAAACGGCCCTGTCCCTGTGTGCCCCATCCCTGCCGTGCCCGTGTGCCCCTTGTGTCCTTGTCCCCACGATGCCCATGCGTGGTTTGTGCCCAAAGGGCAACTGAGTACCACACAGCTGCTTGCCCACCCCTTCCCCCCCCCAGTGCTGGGAAGAAGAAAATAAAGCAAAAGGCTGGGGAATCAAGATAAGGGCAGGGAGGGGTGGCTCACCCACTATGGTCACAGCCAAAAGACTGACTCGTTAGGGGAAGAAAAAGAACAATTTAATTCAAACACTAACAAAACCAACAGTTAACGGGCAAGGTGGGATGGTGAGAAGCGCCGCCACATCCAAACACGCCTCCCCCACCCCTCCCTTCCCCCCCAGGCTCAGCTCTGCTCCCCATCTCTCCCTCCTCCCCCAGCAGCGCAGGGGGCAGGGGATGGGAATTAGTCAGTCCCACAGCTCAGGGGGGGACAACTCCTTGCACTCTCCCCTGTTCCACGGGTCTCCCCTCTCACTGCAGACAGTCCTCCACGAGCCTTCTCCAGCGTGAGTCCTCCCCACGGGCTGCAGCTGTTCCCAGGCTGCCCCAGCGTGGCTCACCCCAGCGTGTTCCAGTCCTCCCAGTGCCGAACTACAACAGCGGGAGCTGCTTCTCCCCTCAGAGTCCCGGCTCCCTTTAAGTGGAGACGCCTGTCCCGGGGTGGGCACCTCCACAGACCACGTCGGCCTCTGCTCCACCGGTGACCTCCCTGGGTGGCAGGGGGGCGGCTCTGCCATCTCTCCACGGGACACAAGGGTCTCTGCTCCGGCACACCTCCCCCCACGTCCTCCTCCTTCCTCCCACTGACCTCGGTGTCCGTCCTCAAGCCCCACTCCTCTTCCCACGTCCCTTCTTGGATACGTTCTCGCAGAGGCGCGGCTGACTGGTTCAGTTTTGGTGTGGAAGTGGAGCTGACTTGGAGCGGGGGGAAGCTTCGAGAAGCTTCTCACAGGGGGCCATGGCTGTTGCGCCCCCCCCCCCCCCCCCCCCCCCAGCTATCAAACCCCCCTCTCCCTGAATCCAGCACACCCACACGTCCCTGTCCCCACCGTCCCCTTGGACCCCACGTCCCCATCCCCGTGGTGCCTGTGTGCCCCACTCGTCCCCCTCCCCGCACAGACCCCGGCGACGCTGCAGAGCCAAGACGCAGTTTCTGTATAAAGTGCCCCTGCCCGTCCCAGTTAAACCCAGCCCCAAATCTCAGAAAACTGGTTAAAAGAGCGGTAGAAAAAGCAGCAGCAGGAGGGGCCGGGGAGGGGCAGCGGGGCTCAGCCCTGCCCGGGCACCGTGGCTTTGGCCTCGGAGCAGGGGTTTCCGCGGTCCAGCCCCACACGCTGCTCCTCACCGGCTGCTGTGTGTCCCCAGTGTCCCCTGCTGCGTCCTTTGCCGGCACGAACCCCACCGAGATGCCCACGGCCTGGGGGGGGGGACACGGGCTGTCACCCAGGGGCACCCACGGGTGCTCCTCCGGGCTGGCACAGCGGGGTGCCCACGGCTGGTGGGTGCTTGGGCGCCCCTGTCCCCGTGCCACCCTGCGCGGCCTGGGTCCTCCTGCCACCTCCTGTACCCCCTAAGCCACCCCACGTGCCCCAAATCCCTGTGCCCCCCCCCCCAGGTGTCCCTGTGTCCCCTTGCAAGCCCCCTGGGCCAACCCGCACGTCCCCGTCCCCACACCACCCTGTGTGTCCCCATGCCACCCTGCACGCCCCAGGCTGCTCCGTCCCCGTGCCACCCTGAGCACCCTGTGACCTCCTGCCACCTCCTGGACCCCCAAAACCACCCTGCGTACCCCAAATCCCTGTGTCCCTCCCCCAGGTGTCCCAAGTCCCCATGCCCCCTTGCAAGCCACCATGCTTGTCCCCACGGCACCCCACATGTCCCTCTGCCACCCTGCACGCCCCAGGCTGCTCTGTCCCCGTGCCACCCTGAGCATCCCGTGTCCTCCTGCCACCTCCTGTACCCCCCCCCCACGCCACTCTGCTTACCCCAATTCCCTGTGCCACCGCAGGTACCCCATGTCCTTGTGCCCCCTTACAAGCCCCTGTGCCACCGTACTTGTCCCCACGCCACCCCACGTGTCCCTCTGCCACCCTGCACGCCCCAGGCTGCTCTGTCCCCATGTCACCCTGTGCATCACAAGCCCTCCTGCCACCTCTTGTGTCCCCAAGCCGTCCCACACGCCCCTAAATCCCCATGTCACACACACCCCACCCCCAAGATCCAGTGCCACCCCATGCGTCCCAGCGCCCCGTGTCACCCGGCACGCCCCAGGCTGCTCTGTCCCCATGTCACCCTGTATGTCCCGTGTCCTTCTGCCACCTCCTGTATCCACAAAGCCACCCTCTGTGCCCCATGTCCCCATGCCGCCCCACATGCCCCAGGTCCCTGTGCCACTCCGCGTGCCCCACGCCACAACGAAGTCGATGAGGGACGCGGCATTGTAGGGGACGTCTCAGTGGGTCACGGTGTCCGTGAGGACCATGGTGACAGTGACGATGGTGCCTGGAGCTGCCTTCACCCCTCCCCCTGCGTCTGCGCCTTTGTTGGTGACCCCCCCACCTTGTCTACAACCCTGATGGTGGGGGGGGGGGGGCACGGGGTGGGGAGCAGGGGGAACCCATGGGTGTCGGGGGGCCATGCTGGGCTGATGCCACCCGCTCGTTGCCTGGCTCCCTCTGTGCTGCCCTCAGACCTGCTGCCTGTTCGTTAACTGGGGCTTAATTTCCTGACACACACACCCCCCCCACTCTGTGAGCAGAGCGCTGGGTGGGAACAGAGTGGGGCACTCCCTGTGGCCCCCCCCCCAGTCATCCCACCCTGCCTTCAGGCACCCAAAGGTGAAAAATCTGCCCCGATGGGAGTGACTGGGGTGATGGGAGTGAATTAAAATCACTGCTTGTGTCAGTGTCCCCCCCCCCCCCAAAAAAAAACCTGTCTGTGGGGCTGGGAGAGCTTTGGGGTTTCTGCACGGGCCTTTGGGGTGTGCTGGGGGGGTGATCACTGGAGCGGGGAGGGAGATGTGAGTGGGTCTTTCGAGTTCGTTAGCGGTGTTAAGGTGGATGAGCTGTGGTGAGAGGCGGTGATGCCTCCAGCCTCCATCCCCCCTCCCCGAGCGGGCGTTGTGTTAAGCAGCTCCTAAGGCAATTAAGAGCCCTCCTGGATAAAATGGAGCCGGTGAAGATCAGGCAAAGCCGGCTGCTGTTGCTTTTTTTTTTTACCACTGCCCGTGATTGCAGCATCTTGTACTGTCCAGAGCTGCTGGGGCGGGGGGACTTGTCGTGGCCAGAGCAAGTGGGGGTTTGGGGGGAAATCCTGGCTCAGAGGGGTCCAGGGTTGGGGGAGCACGCGGCTGGGAAGGAGATGGGAGCTTGAGTCACCCTGGCTGCCTCGGGGAGGTTGCTGTGGGCACAGATGTAATAACTGTTGTTTCTGATGAAAGCGTGTTTGTGTGTGTTTATAGATGATGTTTATATGTGCTTATTTATGATGCTTATACATGTTTATATATGATATTTTGAGAGGGAAGGGTCAGTCCAGCGCCATGAAAACCTTTGAATTTTCCCAGAGCCCTTTATCAAAAGCACCGCTCTCCATGCCAGTCATGGCCTACGCCAGGGTGGGAACCTTTGTTTAGTGCTTTTCTTCCACTCAGCTTTAGTTTTGGCCTAGAAAGTGGTGCAAATCTCTTATTTTTCCCCTTTTGCCCCCCAAGACAGAGCACATCCATCTCACCCCGCAGCCCATGATGGGTCATTTGGCTGCTGCAAGTGTCCCCATGTGCCCCGGGGAGCGTGTCCGTGATCTCAGGGGGTGGGGGGGTGAGGACGTGTCAGCTCCCACTCCGAGAGAAAGTGATGGTGCAATTGGACCGTGGTGCCGAGGCGGCAGCTCTTGCTGAGAGCAGATGAGGGTTTATAAAGCAGATTGCTGCCGTTAAAGCAGCCCCACATTTCCAAGCCCCGGGAGCGAGGTGCCCCAGGTCTGAGCCGTCGAGCTGGTGGACAGTTTGGTTTGTGGTCCTGCTGCTGTCTGACAGGGGCTGCTGCAGGTAAAATGGGGAATACTGGGCTGGAGCTGCGGTCGCGGGGCAGCCGATGGTCTGGGTGATGTGGGATGGGGACAGTCCCAGTCTTGGTCGTTCCTCCTGTCCATCTGGACGTGGGTGCATCTTGAATGATGATGTGGATTCTGCTTTTCCCTCCCTTTCTCTTGCAGGCTGTACCCAGCTGCTGGACGAGCTGCAGGTGATCCTCTCCACTCCTTCCAGGACTGCCTGGCCAGCGTCACCCAGCGCATCCATCCGTCACCAGCCTGAGGGTAAGGCTCTGGGGACCACCTTGGGAGAGCCTTTGGGCTCCCCTCCCCACCTCTATCATTAACATTAAATAACTGTCAGCCCCAAGGGACGTGAGGGCTTTGCCTGGCTTGGAGCAAATGTTATTTTTTGCCCTGGGAAGTTTCCATCGGCTTTGATTTGTTCCCTGAGCATGGGCTTAATGCTCAGCAGCAGCCTGGTGCTGGTGTTCATCCCGGGGAAGGGAGAGATTCCCTCGGAGGTTATTGATGCTTGAATTCAAACTGCCTGGGGCCGTGCGGAGGAGGTGAAGGGAGGTGAGGTGAGGTGAGATAAAGTCAGGTGAGACGCCTCACGTGGTGTGAGGTCTCAGAAATGCTGGTAAATCCACTTTTCCTCCCGTGGCTGGCCGGACTGCTCCACCACCCTCCTTGGCCCCCCCACGTACCCTGGAGGCTCGGGGCTGAGGTGCTCCCCCCCCCACGTATGGCTACTGGCGATGGCTATCATACCTGGTGGGGGGCTATTGTCCCCTGCATCACTCTGCTGCCCCAGGCACGTCTCTGGCCCATCCTCCAGCCAGAGGTGGTATTTTGGGGCTGTAAATGTCCTCTTTGAGCCTGGAATTCACTTGTCTCTTGGCTGCTGGGGGGGCCCCGTGCCCGGCTGGGTCTGCGGGGCGGCTGAGCCCTCGTGGGGAAAAGCACCCCAAAAAACGCCTGGAGGGGAACAGCTCTTTCCAGGCAACGTAAGAGCAATGTACGTGTGTCACATAAGACAAATGCAGCCATCCCTGCCAGGTGTCACTGAGCGCCGGCAGCGTGTGAGTGTGCTGGGTGGGGGCTGAGAGCCGGGGTCTGTTGGACTCAACGATCTTAGAGGGTCTTTTCCAACCTAACTGAGCCTGGGATTCTTGCAGGCACCGCCCAGCCCTTTCAGCAGCATCGCCCCAGCTTAGCAAACAGTGACCAAAAGCCTTGAGGGGCTCAGCACCCCCCCCCTGCACCCCTCAGGACAAGGCAGATGGGGACACACGGGGACACACTGGAACAGGGGTCCAGCGCAGGGTGCTGGAGGCACTGACACCTCTAGGAGGGAGAGCCCGGGCTGCATCACCTGCAGCTCAGGCAGCATGGAGTGGGGGGCACGGTGCAGAAAGCAGGTGCTGTTTTGCTTTATCTGGTGGGGGGAGTAGAGATGACAGGAGCAGGCTCTGCTCAGCAGGGCCCTGGGAGGGGTCAGAGGCAAAGGACGTGGAATGAAGCACCAGACTCCGACTACAAGAAAACATTTTAATGTGAAGGTGATAAAATGCTGGCAGTGCTCTTCCAGCCAGCTGCTGGAGGCTCCGGTTGTGGAGACAGTCAAAACCTGCGGGTGGCAGGGTGTGTGCTTAAATACAGCCCCCCTGCACCCCCCCTTTCCCCCAAAGTGCCGCCTCTCCCCTGCCTGCACAGGCAAGCTGCCCTTCCGCATCCCGCGGGCTCTCTCCGCCACGGCCACACAGGTCAGGACAGGTTTCCAGCAATTTTTCCCCTCGCTGCAGCTGAGTGGGAAACATGGGATCTGTACGAGTGACCCCCAGGGCAGAACACACCAGTGAAGTGGGACACGCAGCCTCTGCTGCCCACTTGCTACCAGCCTAAGCTCAGCCTAAGCTCAGCCTACCCCCAGGCTCAGTGCCTGACCGTGGGCACCAGCTTCCTCCACGTTCATCAGGGCGCGAGGACGGCGCAAGCCGAGGCCGCAGGAATAAGCCCAGCCCCAGCAAAGCCGAGACTTTGCTCCCCGACCGAGCGCTGGCTCTTGGGCTGAGGGGACCGGGCAGCCCCGGGTGCCCGCACGCGTCCTCGCTGCTTTCCACCCGCTCCCCTCCGTGGACGTGGAGCCCAAAGCCGGGCTGGAGGGCGCGCTCGGGGCTCTGGGCGAAGTTCAGCGCGTCCCGGCGGCCGCGGCGAGGCCTGGGGCCCACCAGCACCGGCCCCGTTTGTGCCCAGCCTCGACCCTCGGCTGCCAGAGCAGACACACGGCCCCTCCCAAGCCCGCTGCTAATTAGGAGTCACTTTATTAGCAGCTGTGGAGAAGAGCCCACAGGCAGGGACAAAGCCCAAAACTCAGGAGATGCTGGCAGACGGGGCAGGTTGGCCGCAGCTCTTTGGCTTGTGGCTGAGAGAAAGGGGGGGAGAGGGAAAGGAAGAAAAAGCAGAGAGTGAACTTCATCCCGGCCCCCCCATCACCGCCCTTTCCATCCCCCAGCTTTTGTCCGCAAGGACGCCCTTCCCCTGGGCACCTTCTCCAAGTACACGTGGCACATCACCAACGTCCTGCAGGTCAAGCAGATCTTCGATACGCCCGAGGTAAGGGGTTGGGGGGGGGTGGGGGGGGGGGAAGGCAGGCCCCCCAGCCCCGCCGCTGCCCCGTACCCCAGCCCCTCACCCCCGTGCTCGCCGGCAGCTGCCCCTGGAGATCATGAACCGCCCCCCCTCCCCGAGTCCTGGGCACCCCCAGCCCCAGAACTGGGAGCTCTGGTGGGGACCAGGCTGGGCTTGGAGGGGGGGGACACCAGGAGACTCTCCTCCCAGTGTGGGAGCAGCCGCCCCTGCCAGAAGCCTGGAGTGAGACCCCAGCGTGAGCTGCAGAGCATGGGGGGGGCCCAGGGCTTTACCCTGACCACCACCCCCCCCCCCCCCTCCTTTTCCAGCAGTTCTGAGCACTGCCTTCTTCCTGCCTGGGACTTGGGGGGACCCAACAAGAAGAGCCCCCCCAACTCTGGGAGGCCAGACCCCAGGAGGGAGGGGCCTGCCAGGTCTCTCCAGTCCCCACTAACAAGGACCCCCCCCCACCTTGTTCCCCCCCACCAGACACCCCTGTACCCCCAAGAAGGCCCACGCTCAGGGGAGCCGCACCCCCTCCACCCACAGCCCAGATACTGGTGCCCACCCTCCCAACCACCCCCTAGAATCTCAAACATCCGTGCTACTCCCTGCAGCCCTCTCTAGCCCCCACCCAGAGGTAAAAAAAAAGACAAAAAACCCCCCAACGCCCCCAGCCAAATCTCACCATCGGGGCTCCAACCTCTTTAACCACCTGCAAAAAACCCCAGACACCCCCCACGGAACACACACACAGACATTGCGCAGTCTCCCCCCAAATCCCAGCCCTGGGTGTGGGGGGGGAAGCCCTTATTGTGAGGCTCCCTGTGCTTGGGGGGGGACAACCCTGTACTGGACACCCCCTTGAATGTCCAAGGGACCACAACCCACACGGCTGAACCAGCATTAGTGGGGGCAGGCTCGGACCCACCCAGGATTTGGAGGGGGGGGGCCCCCTCTAACACCTATTCCCTTCGTCATCAAGTGGATCCCGCCCCCCCCAGCAGGGAGCTGCACATCAAGTTCAAGTGTAGCCACCGGCTGCCACGGAGCCGGTGCTGGAATTCCCACAGCTGGCGATCATCTCCCTCCCCCGAACCCCACCCCCGGTGCCGGGGAAGGGGGGGGGGGGGCACAGCCCCAGGACTGGCACAGCACAGGCTTGCAAGGATAAATACCATTATCCAAGCACACAGGAGCACCCACAAAATAAAACTCCCACTCGTGGGGTGCCCCGAATCTCCCTGCTCCCGGGGAGGGGGGGGGGGGGGGAAGGTGGGGGTACCCCCTGGGGATCCCCTTAGGCAGGGTAGGGGTCACAACAAGGGCAGCTCTCTTTGTCCCCCGGTTTGTCCCCACAGACGACCCCATCGCCAGGCTGGGAAAGCCACATCCCAGTGCTGGGGACCCCCGGCAGGACCGGGACCCCCCCTCCCAGGGCACGGCGGGGCTGGGGGGGCCCTTCCTGGGAGCAGCCCCCCCCGGCAGCGGGCGGGATGGGGTAACTGGGGGTGGGATGTGGGGTGGAGGGGGCAGGTGCTGGCTGTGGGATGCACTGGGAAGCCTGTGGGATGGGGTGTGGGGGGGTACTGGGGGGGGTGTGTGTGTGTGCAGGAGGTGGTGGGGGCTGGAGCCGGCCCGTGGCTGCCCGTGAACCCCGTCACCCTGCAGCTGGATCTGGGACAACCCCGAGGGGGGTGGGTTCGGGGGGGGGGTGTGGGGTGCTGAGCCCTGGCACCCCTGCCTGCCCTTCACCCTTTGCAAGGCACCTATGGCCAGCGACAGGATGGGTGTCGTGTGTGTGTGTCCCCCCCCAGCCTGGGGGGGTACCAGCACCCGAAACCAGAGCAGGACCTGCCCAGGCACCCTGGGGCAAACCCCTCCCCGGGGGAGGCTGGGGGACCCCAGACCCTTCCCGGCAGCAATGCTCTGCCCCGTCGGGGGCCGAAAACCGGCAGCGGGACGGGGCAGGGTGGGACGGGGCAGGGTGGGACGGGGGCGGCCGCCCTCTCCAATAAAATCGACACCAACGAGGTGCCCACGCCGCCGGGCTCTGCCTTCCCGGGGCTCCGGATCCACCCCCCCCCCCCCCCAATCATCTCACCTCCCGGCGACATCGCTGGGAACCTCCCGCTCGCTTCCCGAGGCAGCGGCCAGCACGCGCTTCTCTTTCATAATGAAATAATTTATTTTCTAACAGTTGAACAATACAGAAGTATCCATATACACAGCAAAGGTCTTCTAAAACATGTACTTCCTAAAAACGCGTGTGCTAACTGTAATAAAAAGCACCATTAGATGGTCTTGACACAGGATTCAGAATGACGATGTGGTTATTTACAGCAGGAACCGAATGGCTGGAAACAGAATTTGTATTCTCCCATCTGCCGCTCTCCGGCTCTCGACTGCCCACAGTAAAGCCGATGCCGGAGCGCGTTTGCTTCTTGGGAAGCAAAAAGAAGAAATGAGGGGGAGAAAAAAAAAAAAAAAAAAAAAAAATGGAAAAGCGCAAATAAAACGTGTCAAAAAAAAAAAAAACAAAAACAAAACCAAACCAAACACAAAACAACCAAACCCCAGCGCTCGGACAGTTCTGGCTTGGATGTTTCAGATGGCTCAAGTGCCGCTGTGCTGGATAAATTAAAAGGATGAAAGAAACCTCGTGGCTTTGGGCTGACGCCGTGGCAGGGAGAGGACGTGCCGCTTCCTGGGGAGCGAGCGAAGGACGGTGATGCCCGAGCAAGCGCCGGGGGACTAGAGAGAGCCCCTTTCCCGGCAGCTGCCCGACCCCCGCCTGGCCGTGGGTCCCGTCTCTTGCCACCCGAGGCAGCGGTTTGGGCTCTGCCTTCCGCAAGGAAAAAATAAAAAACCAACCCCAAAAAAAAAAGCATGTTTTGGATTCACGCCCGTCTGTGCAACGATCCGTTGTAAACGCAGGGTGCGGGAGCAGCTCCTCCCGCCCCCCTTTTTTTAATCGCAATCTACAAAAAGGTCCTTCCTGCAGCTTATTTCTTAGGAATGCTGGTGGATCAGTGAATTCCAGGAAAAAGGCTGGCACAGCCGCCGGGCGCCTCGGCCGACAAAGAAGAGACCCGGAGAGACCGAAAGCCCTCGCAGGTGGTCCGGGCCGCTCACCAGGAACCAACCGCCGGATTTCCAGCCTCCTTCCAGGTTAGTGCATCATTTTGGAGGGTTCCCGTTTCTCTTCGCCCTCAGGCTGGCGAGGAGCACATCCCAACAGTGCAAAGTCTGATCATTTTTAGTTCGGGACAGAAACAAAAAGGGGAGGGGGGGAAAAAAAAAAAAAAAAAAAGCAACCCCCCCCCCCCCCCCCCTCCCCGTGGCTTCACCAACAGAAGTAACTCAAAAAGGCACAACACTGAATAAAATAATTTACGCTGAATCGAAACCTTAAGACTTGGTCTATCTGGATAACAATCAAAACCAACTGTTTTCTGCCTCCCATTTGACCCCGACGGTGCTTTCCCGCCGCCCGATGTCACCCTTCCCTGCTCACAGGCAGTAAGATCTGTGGCTCCGCTGGGATTCCCGAGGTGGTTTCTGGAAGAGGGTGAGGTTGGCAAACGCCTCCTGCAGCCACCGGCCTCAAAGTGCTGACATTCCACTGTCTTTTTCTCTGTGCTTTTCATCTTTTTGCCTTTTTTTTTTCCCCCCCTCTTTCTTATAGCGTAGGGGTTTTGAGCTTGCGCACCGAAGGCTGGCTGCCAGGACTCTGGTGTACAGATGCTAAAGGCATCCGAGCCGCGGGTCGGTGCAAATCTGCTGGACATCAGAAAATTCTGGCTGCTTTAAAAAAAAAAAAAAAAAAAAAAATCCCTCGTGGTTGTTTTTTTCTCACTTTTAAAACCCAGCATGCCCCAAAAAAGAGCAGAGACTTCGGAGATTTCAGTAATCTGCTAGCCCCGTCTCCCATCCTCTTGCTTCTCAAAGACTTTAAACGACCCAAAAATAGATTTAGGATGTTAAAAAAAAAAAAGAAAAAAAGAAAGAAAAAAAAGAAATTGAGTTTTATATTGTTCATTCACTCGCGCTTTGCAGTAGCAAAGTCTTGGTGACCGTGTTTCTTGAAGGGATTTGTCCAGACTGTGGGGATGCCCCGTTTGGTCTCCCACCACTAAGAAAAGCCCTTGGAGAGCGAAGTGGCTCCTCGCTGGGTGCCCGGGGCTGGTCGGGGTGGGGGAATCGAGCGAGAGGTTTGCCGAGGGGGCAGAAAAGATCTTGGCCTGGCTCAAGGGGAAAAGAAACGTCTCTGTTAGCGGACCTCTACGTATCAAAGTTTCCAGAACATTTATAAAAGCAGAAAGTTGTAAGAATGTTATCTCCAGGACATCGGTTTCATAGAAAAATGAATAAATACTATTTATAGCTTGTGTGTTTTCTGTACATTTCCATGTGCTCTCAGGCCGGGACCCCCCCCGCCGTCGGGGCGGTGGGAAGGGCTCTGGCCCTTTCTTGGCACGTTCGGGTTTGTCTCCCTAAGGCGGCGACCAAAATCCTCCGTGAGCCCCTCTGAGTGCCCGAAAAGATCCCCACCGGCCCCAGAAGTGCTTCGGACGCGCCGGCGGGGTCTCAGTGGGGTCTTGGGCGCCGACGGCCGGAGGCTGCCCCCTCCCCCTCACCATCGGGTTATTGCTAAACTGTCGCGCGACGGATTGGAACGGGGCCGAGCATCGCTTCTGTAAAACAGATGAGGCATCATCTTTGTTTGTTTTTTGTGCTAAAGGGATGGAGATAATCTTTGTTCATCTCTCCGAGGTAGAAAAAAAATTGTCCCCGAGACAAGAAGCGTGAAAAGGAAATTCCAGGAGCGCTTGCCTAGAACAGCGATGTGCGGCCACGACGCGGGCGGTGGGACCGTCGCGTGGGACGGGGACGAGGACCGTTTGGTTTTAGGTAGGACAGAAAACTTCCCAGACCGAAGGCATCTGACCTGAGGCTCTGCAGGAGGGGGGACGATGACTGCCGAGCCCCGCAGGCCCCCCGAGCGGCCTGCGCCACGCTCCAGCTCCGGGAAGACAGCGGGGAGGAGCTCTCCCGACGAACGCGCCGGCGGCTGGTGGTGGAAGCCCCGCGCCCGCCCGAGACGGGACGCAGCCGAAACGCTCCGTGCACCCATCGCTGACTTGCCTCCGCTCTCTCCCGGATCTAAACTGTGCAAAAGTCCGGCTCTGCCTTCAGATCCTCACCCAAAAACTCCACGTTTTGGCCCCGCCGCCGATTATCGGGTACGCGATGTCGCTGGGCACGTGCGGGGTAGCTCCGGAATACCGCGCAGCGACAGCAAGGCAGAAAGCCCCGGGGAGAGCTTTTGAGGTTGCTGTTACTGCTGCGATATTCCCGGGCGCTTCAAAATGTGGCTGGCACGTGTGGTCTCGCAGAGGAGTTTCCAGATGGGAAGAGAAGCCGGCGGCTGCGAGCGGAGGTGCACGCCGGGGAGCAGCGTGCCACCCGCAGCCCTGCGGGGTGTTCTGGGCCTTCAGCGAAGCTCGGCTTCGTTTCGGTCGGCGGTAGGTGAAGATTTTTTTTTTTTTTTTAACGTGCAAGAGAACGGCGGGACGGTCCGGTGTGCTACCTAACGAGATCCAAAAGGGAAAGAGCGACGGGTGAAACAGCGACGGGAGTTGCTTCTTATAGCCCGAGAGGCGGCTTGCGACTGCTCTGCAGCTTCAACCTCTTCACGCCGGAGCTGGAGTAGCCCTCGTCGCTGCAGACGCTCTGCAGGCTCCCTCTTTCGTCCGAGTCGCTCGGGCTGCTGCTGCTGCTCCAGTCGAGGTCCGCAGGAAGGTCGTCCGTGCTCTCCACGTCCACGTCGATCTCTTCTGCAAGAGGAACGGTTAGCGTTACGGCGCGGCTGGCCAGCCCTCTCCCCAGCCCGTCCCGCTCTGTCCCGAGCGCGGGCTCTCACCTCTGTCCGAGTCGGAGCGCTCCGAAGAAACGGTGGATCCGATACTGTCCATCCTTATCCTCTCTATCCCCAGCTTCTCCAGCTGCCTCTTCAGGTGCCGCTGCTCCCGCTGCAGCTGGTCTATTTGGTGTACGGCTTTCCTGTCATAGTCTTCAAGCTTCTGCAGAGGAGGAGAGAGGAGGTGCCCTGAGCTCCCCAGCCGCACCTGAAACGCCGCTTTCGCTACCCGAGCCACCCGACCGCGACCGACGGCGACTACTGCGGGGCTGCCCGGCCTCAAATCGCTCAGGATGTCGAGCACGCGGGTCACATGGATGCAGCTTCCACCCTCCTGCAAGGCTACAGACAGCGAAGCAGGACGCGGCATCCGGCCCAGGGATGGAGGGGTCTGGACCTGGCCCGAGACCACTGGAGAAGGCACATAACTCCAGCTACGCTGGAGCCAGCCCCATCCTATTTATATATTTTCAGAGCCCTTGCTAACTGGAGTCGAAGGCAGCCTGATGCCAGCACTCCCCGGGTTATCTCTCAGCTCGTGGAGCTCTAAATACACCCAGCGAGGACAGCCCTTCTGAGTCACAAGTCTAAAGGACAAAGACTGAAGCAGGAAACACTCTAGAAAATAAAAGGAAAAAGCAGCTGTGCTCCAATCCTGCAGCCAGTCTCATCCCTAAGGCCCCTGGGCGTGGGGTACAACACAGAAATTCGGCTGTAAAGCAGTGTGGCTGCTCTCTGTGAGCCTGCTGACAAGAATTGCATGGACTCGCTGGGCCAGCTGTGAGAAGGGCAATGCTGACCACCTCCGTCAGTATTTCCAAAACAACCCGGCCGTTAACTTCGTCCCGCTCGAGGGCCCGGACGCCCCGAAGCCCCTGTGCCCTGTCCTGCTCTCGAAGCCGAGCTCGGCGCCCACCTGATGGGGACAGAGCCCGATTTACTGCGTCTCCCACACCGAATGGGCCCACGCTCACCTTGATGTGCAACTTAGCTCTCGTTAGTAAACTCAGGGTGGTGTGTCTGCTGGCCTCGGGTCCGAGCGGCACCAGCCCTTTCAGCTTCTCCAAACACAACCGCAGGTGGGCACGCCTGGAAGAAGATCACACAACACGCTGAGCGCTCAGGTACCCGCTTCCCCAACGGCATTTCACCCCTGCCAGCGTGGACGATCAGGGTGGTTGGAAGCTAAACCGAACCAGATGCCTTCCCACGCGCCGGCGGCTTCCATACATCAGGAGCAAACTGCAGGCAGACAAAAGGACCTTGACAAAAAACCCAATTCTGACTTGGGCCAACCCCCTGGACAAAACCCTGCTGGTGCCTTTGGGGCTGTCAGGACACTTGCTAGCGAGGAGCTGCCAAAACCCTCCACTTTTGGAGCGAGGGAATCCGCTTTTGGTCTTTCTTCTCTCAAAAAGCTTCACCGCAGGGATGCTGTTTGGTCATCACCTTGCCCCACGGACAGCTGAAGGTGTCTGAGCCCACGCCACGCAGCCGTAAACCCTGTGTGCTCTCTGGGAGCGCTTCCTTTCCCTATTTTTAGAAGGAAGGGGCCAGTTTTGGATCCATTGCCTCGGCATCCATCCGGTCAAAACAAGACCGGGTCCTCAAGGGAACGCTGGCCCTGAGCAGCACCGCACTCCTCGGCCGCCCCGGCGCAGGAGCCTGCCAGGAATCCCTCCCTCCCTCCCTCTGTAACACCCAGGTTTTGCCTGCATTAATATACAGGCTAGTGCTTTACCACTTGCACACTGCTGCGAGGGAAACTCCAGCTGCCGGAGGAAGTCCCTTTATCTGTCAATAACCAAGATCCTCCCAGCATGGGCCGGTTTCCTTCGCGTTGAGCCTTCCAACCCCAAGATTTAGGTCACATTCTTGGGCATCGGTTGCAACACCCGCCTTTGAAATACCCGATCGACACAGGCAGCTGCAAATTGGGATTTTGCAAGTACCTGCCTATCTTGTTTTGCGCACGCTAGGAGTAAACAGGCATTTGCCTACACAAACTACCTTCTGGATTACAATGCAAACAAAGCACGTGGTCTTTACTCTTCGGGTAAATCCCAAACACTGACAGGCTCAAAGATGAGCGTTTGCAAAGATTATTTTCCTGAGCTGGGGGAGGAAGAGCTGCCCAGAGCGGCGCAGACCTGTCTGACCGTGCTGTGTTGGCTTACAAGTGATTTACTTGTGAGATCTACGGATAAGGAGCTAGCCCAGCCACGCTCCACGAGGGCTGCCGCAGCAAAACTGAAAATCCTCAGTACCTCCGCTAAAAAAAAAAAAAGCCCTGTCACGCTGGCCGTCCGTCCGCACCAGAAAAACAACAAATGGAAAAAACCAGCTCGCCCTGCCTAGCAGAAGTTACGCAGGGGGGAGTGCAGCAGCAACCTGCCCTGCTCGGCCAGCGCCGAGCGACTTTCTGGATTACACAACGCCGACACTGGAGTCAAAACTGGGGTTTCCGTTTCGAAGTCAGAGGCGCCGTGTCTATAAAAGTGGGTTTCTGCCACGCTTCACCCAGCTGAAACTGCTGCCATGCTTAAAAAACCCCAGAAATCCCACTGGCTCATAATAATAAAAGAAAAAAAACCCTCAAAGGATTCGTTGCCCAGGCAAAGGACATTCCAAACCCATCGTCCCATTTCATTGTGGATGTCCTTGTGAGTTATCCATCTTCCCGTCGCTCTTCCTCCCCGTATCAAGCCAGGGCAGGGCAGAAGTCAGTAAGCTTTGGTCGAGGCCAAGATTCACCGGCTCGACCGCTCCTGGAGAGGATTAAGGTATCTCTAATGAGGAGAGAAGGAAGAAGGGGAGCGTAATCCCTGTGCAGAGAGAAGCTCATTTCTCCAGCCACCCCGTTTGAAGGGCCGGAAAAGACGGAGCATTTACTGCACTCGCTTGTGCAACGTTACCAGCGGGATTTCGACACGGTTCTGGTCTAAACAAGGCAAGAGGGCTGCAAGGCGAGCCTGAAGTAATCAAATACTAATTTTCTCGGTCTTTTCAAATGAGGAATAAGTGTCCCTTGCCTTTTCTAACCCATGTCACTCGGGACACGGGCAGTTCTGCCTCTGGGGATACAAACCGAATGAATTCACGCTAGTCCTGTGCTGGCAGCAGGACACGGCAAGATCTGAACCGTGTTCAAGCCATGCTGAGAAAAAAGAGCAGCCTACCATGGACACCCAGCCATCGTTCCGCTGGACGACAAAGACCACACCGGTCTGTCGCAAATAATCCCAGTTAGGTGTAGGCACAGCTCCAGTTGTGTACCTACACCCTGACTGCAGGCGAGCAGAGGCTGACGGCCATCCCACTGGCACAGGATTGCCCCCGGAATTGGGAGAGGGCTGGAAACCCTTCTCCCTAGCAAGCTGGGGGGTGAGAGGAAGCGAGGAACACTGCTTGGGGTTTCGCCAGTGAACCGGGAGCTGGCAGAGGAGGTAAATATCATTCCCACCTCATTGCACAGTGGCTCCGGCAGCTGAGGACGGAGAACGCTTCAAGTCCAGGCAACGTCAGGAGCCTCCTCAGCGGCCACTTTCGCCAGCCACCCTGTCCCTTTTCTCCTGCCTCCCATCGCAGTGCTGCCTCGGCTCCCAACCCTGGAAAAGCAGCAAGTTGCCCAAACCCAGCTCCCACCAAGCCTCCAACACTCACCGGTTCTTTTCCATCTCGTTGTGTGTCGACCTGAAAAAGAAAGAACAAATATTAACTCCTCCGTCTGACTAGGAACACTGCAATCAGGATTAACATGCAGGAGGTAAACGCTCCCAGGAAAAAAAGTTGCAAACTTCAGGGGCTGCTCAGTACCCCAGGGATGCTGAAAACAGTGAAAGGGACGCAGATGACCTGGTGCAATGGAGAAATTGCCAGATAAATGGCAATAAAAGGGCCAGCAAAACTGTAAGATGGGGTTTGAATGTGGAGAGCTCAAGTTTTAGAACTCAGACTAGGATTAAGCAGCTGTATCAGTGCCATGATGCATGACAGTGCACGTCATCCAAAAGCAAAGGCTCTCGAGGCTGGTGCTGAAGGGGAAGCAGCAGCGCTGAGAGCAGAAGGGCTGGTCTCTAGGCAGGGGGAGGGAAGTTGCTCCATCTCAACACAAACCTGCAACCGGACCTCTATCGGAAGGAAAGTGGGTTTTCAGACAGTGCAGGTGCCCTGCGGTGGTTTTTTTTTTTTTTTTTTAAGCAGCTTTTTAAGGATTTCTTGCATGAGAAGGGCAAAGAAAGCAAGAGGAGTATCTGTAATTCTCGGCCTGCAAAGTGAAGAGACAGGGACTGACAGCTCGGGTGCTCGGTGGCACCTTCGGGGAAGGCAGGCTGCTTTTTGAAAGCTGTGCGGTGCCCGAGCAGCTGCGTCTCACGCCGGGAGCCCCAAACCAGCTCAGGACATGCCGGCCATACGAGACGGTGACCAGGAGCCCCCAAAATCTCGACGGCGTCTGACGCTCGTGCCTGTCTCTTGGCAAAAGTGGGGCGAGCTGCCAGGAAGACAACACGTAACGATCCCCTGTGTCCAACAACGGGTCAGCACCTCCGAGCGAGAGACGCCAAATGTGACGCTGAAACCCAGGCGGGCGTTATGTCCATTTACAAATCCCCCTGAAACTCCGCATTTCAGCAAAGCTAAAAAAAAAAAAAAAAAGGCAGAAAACCTTCTTTTTTGCTACTTATTTTCTCCCCATCAAAACCTGGGACAGCTACACAAGGCCACGGTGCCTGTGGCACCGGGACGGACGCTTAGGGAAGAACTGCTTCCCTCCCCGTGCTCTCCTTAAACACTCACGAGGCCACTGACTCTAATTTGGGAAAGACATTGTTATATGCCTGAAAAGACGTGAAGAACCCCCAGGCTGTTCAGATAAGGATGCCTCCTCAGAAGCACCAGTTGGCTCTGGGAGCACTGGTTTCCCCCAGGCCCTGACACTGAAGGAAAAACAAGGGATGCCATGGACACACTGGTTGAAGACGCTCACGGGGGTTTTCTTCGCTTTGCCAGCAGCATTTTGCGATGGATCACCACCGCTGGGGAAGCCACCGCAGCCCTCCCGTCTTTCTAACGAGATTCATCTTAGCCTGGCTCCTCTTGTTTGCTTTTCAGTGGTGCTGCTTGAAGCAGTCTGTTCCCAAGGTGAGTGTCCCGCTCACAGGCAGTCCAAAAATATTTGATTCCAGTGGAGGTGCTTCTCACTGAAATGGATGGGCGTTATCCTGACACGCAGGGGAATGGGGAATGCTCCTGAGCAAACATCTGCAAACAGCCAAGAAGGACTCGGGTCTTTGGCGCCTGTGGGATCTCTCCATTAAACTTTTTTCTGGATAAAAGTCCTGCCTTTTACACCAAGCCCTTCGCCACAGTGCTTGCAAACCCCACGCAAGGCGACGGACTGCAGCGAGCTTGAGCTCCTCCCTTGGTTGTGAATAAGCCAAATGCTTTTCGAGTACCGGTGCTGACAGAGACCATCCCATCTCCACTACGCTTTTATTAATAACAAATTCACTTCCTCTTCCACGCCTTTGTTTCAGAATCCTTCTTAGCGTGGGTTTTGTTGTTTGCATCCACAATTGCTAATATTTAGAAAAAGGTTCCTTAGTCAATGGATTTTCATTTCGGATAAAATAAAAGGGGAGAGGGGACCAGAGGGGACCGCAGCTTCCCCCTGGGGCTGGCAGACCGCCTTGCCGTGTGCCCCCAGACCCCTTTCTCAGCGCTGTCATACTCGGCGAGTCACCGATCCCACCTCCCACTAACTGAAACCTCGTCTGTCAGCCCCAAAACTTCAGCTGATTGCCAGTGTTGCTTTCAAAACCCGGGCTTTTCTCCTGCAAACCATAGCAAAAAATAAGGTAACGGCACGCGCTGCAGCTACTCGTTCTCTCTTTAACACAACGCAGACCTTTGTTCTGATTCACCTTAGGTGAAGAGCAAGCTCCAGATCTTCCAAAAAGGAGATTCAGAGTGTGAACAAGAGCAACGAATACCCATGAATTCACTCAGAGCCTACTTGAGACAAGACTGAGAGACCTCACCTGCCTTTTGCTCCTGTAACGGGAGCCTGACAGCTCCGAAGCCCTTGCGTGGGAGGGAGATGGAAACGCCCCGGCTTGGGGAGACACCAGGATTCAGGGTACAAACAAAACACGCGGGGCATTCCGGGCAGCATTTGTTGTTACGGCAGCTATCAAAGGTCAGCTGTCGCTGCGTCACGCAGATGAGTTTGCTCCCAACCAGGAAAATGTGACATATCTGGTGACATCGCTGCCTTGCTCCTCCCTGGGCAAACAGCCTAAAATAGGGCAGCGAGAAAGGAAGCAGTTGGCTGCCGGTGACACGTCGGGATGAACCTGCTCAGGCTTCACTCTGCCCGGCAGTTTCCCTCGCAGCCGTTCCGAGGGGCTGGATGTGCGTGTCCTGGCACAGCGGCGGCACTCCAGAGCCAGCCCTCCCGAAAGGCAGCTGATAATTTTACCTCGACGATGCCCCGAGTGATTTTAATGTTATTAAAGCGACCGAACAAACCACGACGGGCGCTGGAAAAAAAGAAGTCAGCACGGTGACTCCAGTTTGCACCGTGACACAAGTGCCGGCTCTGAAGTGGCAGTTTCTGTTGTACAAAACAAAAGAGTGAGTGAATAAAACAAGACACGGGAGATTAATTCATGAGCCTGGGAGGCATAATTAAATACTCCCTGAAAAAAAAACAAAACAAAACAAAAAAAAACCCTAAACCCCAGGCTGGTGGGACTTGCTCCTGCAAAACAATGCAGCTGCTTGGAGATGACTTCAACTCGGAAAAAACGTGTCTTAGCATTCCTGAGAATGGGCTGTGTATTTATGATCGGCGAGGAATAACTTGCATTGAGGCTCTCGATGGATTTCAGGGAGAATAATTAAGGAACTTCCTTTTTTTCAAAGGAAAGCAGCACTAGGTGATTTAATTTAAGCGTCAAACAAAACCCTGCGCTAGACCAAAAGCAAATTAGAAAAATTTCGCTTTCTTTATGGAGAATCCTCATGGACCGAGAGCGGTTTCACTTCTCGAGCTTCGGTGGCGCACGCCTGAAATCAAAAGGCCAACTTCCACATTCCCTTCAGCAAACCCATCCGCCACGTCAGACGATTGCACATTTCATACCCAAGTTTGCCCAAGACGGGAGAGGTTTCTCCTCACGTCTTGCCGGGCTGTTCCGGGCAGACACCAGCCCGGCACGGTGGGCGCATGTCGATGCTGATGGGAATCTCTCGACAGAGGCTCGAAGGGGAAAGAGGTGGCGGGGGCCCGTGGGGCTGGCGGGGGGGCTGTGATGGCAGGATTGGGGCAGAGCCCGGGCGACAGGCTGACAGGAGGGTCCCCAAACCCTGCTGAGCACCCTGTGACAACAGGACCTTACTGGATCTGGGCACCCAGCGGGGTCCCCAGCCCTGCTGAGCACCCTGTGACAGCAGGGCCTTACCAGATCCGAACCCCCGGTGACAAGAGGGTCCCCCCCCAGCCCATGACAGCAGGATCTTACCGTAGCCTGAGCACCCCCCATGCCAGGAGGGTCCCCCTCCAGCCCTGCCTGGCGCCCTGTGACAGCAGGACCTTACCGGAACCCCAGTACCCGGTGACAGGAGGGTGCCCCCCCCCCCCCCCCCGCCCCGGTCACACGCACCAGGACAGCGGGGACCTTACCGGGGCCCGGTCGCCTGGTGACAGGAGCCTCCCCAGAGGAACCCTGACAGACCCGAGCACCCCTCAACGGCCAGGCCCGGCCCCGCCAGGCCTCGGGGGCGTCCGGTCCCTCCCCAGCTCTCGGTGACACACACCCCCCCCCCCCCCCCCCCCCCGGTACCGGCCGTTACCTGCTGCTGCCGCCGCTCTTTCTGGCCTTGGCGCGGCGCCGCAAGGCCTCTCCGTCCTTACCGCCGGGCAGCAGCGAGGCGTAACCGTGCTCGGCTTCTGCGAAGACACAACCGCGGGCAGCCCGTTACCGCCGGGCCCGGCTGAGGGGAGATGGGGGGGGGGTTGGGGAGAGCCGGGACGAGCCGAGGCGGGGGGGAAGCGGTACCTCGCTCCCGCCGCTCCAGGTACTCGGCCGCCTCCAGCAGCATCTGGATGTTGAGGCCGGCGCAGGCCGCCATCTCGCCGCGCTGTGAGGGCCGAGCCGGGCCGGGCCGGGAGCGGCGGCGGCGGCGGGGAGGGGGCGGCGCCGTCTGTCCGTCCGCCTCGCCCGGCCGCTCCGCCAGACCCCGCCCGCCGCCGCCGCTCATTGGGCGACGCCCCGCCGCCGCCGCCGCCTATTGGAGGAAGGAGGTGGGAGACCCCGCCCAGGGAGGGCGGCCGGGTGGGGGCGGTGCCCGAGGCCACGCCCTGCGCTCGCCGTCATTGGGCGAGAGTGCCACGCCCACCCGCCGTTGAGCCGCCGGGCCCTGCCCCTCGTCCCATTGGTTGGCGAGCCTGGCCACGCCTCTCGCCCCGGCTCACTGCAGCCAATGGCGGGGCGGGAAGCGGGGAGGGAGCGGGGCGCCGGCTCCAGCGGGTACCGTGGGGTGACCAGGACCCCCCCGGGGCAGTGACAGCCCCGGGCTGGGTCCCCCAATCCCGGGACATCCCCCCACCCCCGTCAGGAAGCACCCAGGAACCCCTCCAAGTAGGGCCCCCACCCTCCCCAGGGTAGAGAGCACCCAAAGCGACACCCCCCTGCCCACCCCAGTACAGCCCTCTCCATCCCACAGCCCCCCTTGGGGACAGCCATTCCCCCCCCAGACCGCAGTGACAAGGGGGGGGGCTCCTCCCAGTCCCACTTCCTTCTCAAACCAGTAACCGGGGAAGAACCAGCCCCCGCGGCTGTCACCACCCTGCACCTCCATTTTGAACCCCCAGGGCTTCCCTCAGCCTCCACCCCCCCCCCCCCCCCCCCCCCCGAGTGGAGGGTGTTAATTAGCAAAAAACATTAATTAGCAAAGGATGGAAGCCAAGAAGCAAGCTGTCTGAAAACACCCAGCTGGGCTGTCAAAAAATGAGAAAAAAGTGATTTTCTGCAATAAAAAGGCCCCAAACAGGTGCTTCCACAGCCACGGGTGTTTTAAATTTATTTCTATAAATTCATATGTATTTGTGTGACATGGGAACTGAAACATTTTGGGGTGTAAGGTCCCTGCGCCGCGCAACCGCAGCAGCTCAGGCAACCGACCAGCCAGAGGTTTCCGGCAGCCTCCTCGCTCGCACGCTTTATTTCTGACTTATAAAAATAAAAGGAAAAATATATGCAGGGTTTTTATTGTAACAGGGAACGTGGTGTGTCCAAAAACAACAACAGGAAAAACACAACGAAATCCCGGCGAGGAATAAACCATGAGGCATAATGTAAAAAAAAAAAAAAAATTAAAGACTCCAGGAAATGGTGACTCCTACCCGCTCTGGCTGCGGGGCAGGATTTGTTGGGAATAACCTCAAATTCCTCTGAAATCCAGTCTCTGAGCTGGGTGGTGCCAGGAAGCAAAGTCCTTCTGGGCGGGGGCGTCTCCCCCAAGCGAGCTCAGCCTCAAGCGATGAAATCCAGGGGTCTGTTGAATCCTCCTTTTCTGTTCATGTACTGCCTGCGGCCCGAGGGGAAGAACCGTGTAAGCACTGGGGACAAAACTCCCCCAAGGGCTCCCAGCTCTGAAGAAATCCACACCAAAATACCCCATAACCATGCTCAGCAGCTGCGGGGAATCCAATTCCCTGTGGATTCACCCAAACGGAGGCAGGAAACGTCCCAGCGAGGAAGTGTCTCGCTTGGGCTCGGCTCTCTGAGGACCCTGGTGTTTGCAGGTCTGGATAAAAGCCAAAGCCTGGTGGCACGCTTGAGTTTCCATCAAAAAGAAAGCAGAATTGGCAAACTGAGTGGGTTTTCTTAGTAAGGAAGAACCAAACAGCATTGCTTAGGCAGGTCCTGGCAATATCCACACCTGGCACATCCCACCCGCAGGCAATGCTCTCTTTTTGCTCCTCATCCCTCTGCTTTCATCATTTCCAGGAGAAAGCAGAGGCCTCTTACCTCTGTTTGACAGTAAAAACCCCAAACTTGGCCTTTTTCCAAAAGCCCAAGGAGCCGGATCACCCCCCTGCATGTGTCAAGCAAGGTGTACAGCTGTGGTTTCCCCACACTGCGTTATCTCATCAAAGAAACTCTCTTTCTATCAAAAAAAAAAAAAAAAAAGGCTGGGTACAAACCTGTACTTCCTCTTCTGGGACACGTTGATGGCGTATGCGTTTGCAGCACCGTCCACCTTCTTCCCCTGAAAGATGTGAAGAAAAAAAAGTCCCCAAACTCCACATGTTGTCCCTGAAAAGGGGACAGTGACACTGCCAAGGCAGCCGTGGGCCCCACCACGCCGATCTGCACTCACTTTCGTCGTATTGAAAGAGGCGAAGCCCATTGTTTTCATCATCTCAATTTCCTCTTCTGTCTTCCCCTGTAAATCTTCCTCTGCCGAGACAAATAAATTAGTTCAATAAACGCAGCCACTGAGGTTTGCTAAAAATGTTTTAATTAAGCACCTGGACGTCCCCTGGGCTGGCCCCAACCTGAGCAGGGAACCCAGGATGTATTTAACGAGGCAAATACACCCCCTCACCTGTGATCTGACGCTCTTTGCTTTTAGAGTCCTTTATCTCCTTCTTCTCTTCATCCCGCCGCTCCTTCAGCCGTGGTGGGGAGGAGGAGCTGGATCGGTGCCGTCTTGGTGACCTGATGTTGCAAAAGCAGAGGAGGAGGGTTTGCACCTTCCTGGCGGTGCCGTTACTCCAGATGGTTTTACAGCGTTCACGAGTTCCCACCATCTCCGTGCCGCCCCTTGCCCGGGCTCCCCAGCTCGTCCCCACCCTGGCGTCGGCATTTCTGCCCCTCACCTGGACCGTCTCCTGTGCGGGGAGCGGGAACGACTCCTCCTCCTGTCCCTGTCCCGGGACCGGGATCTCTCTCTTCGCCTCCTCTCCCTCTCCCGGGAGGTGGACCGCGAACGCCTGCGTTCTGCTTGGGAGAAACACAGCCCTCGGCTCAGCTCCTGCTTCCCCTCCTCTCTCCCCCTTCGCTGCCCGCTTTTCAACGCAAATTCCATCAACGCTGCGACAGCTTCCAAGCTGAGAGCCCGTAACAACCCCTCCTTTCCACCTCCTGCCCCCCGCCCCTCCATGGCTGGGCGCAGAGATCCCCCCCAGCACCCACAGAATTGGGATGAGCCCAGGAAAAGCCCTTCCCTCGGCAGAGCGGTCCCTGAAAAGCTGAGGCGTGTGGAGGGGGGGGGGGGGGGTGGGAGTCGCTGTGCGTGAGGAGGAAGAGGACGAGGCTGAAGGGAACCTCTGTTCTCCCTCAGAGTGAAGATCCGAGGGTTCATCACCGCCCCGGAGGGGTTTCACCCCTCGTTCGGGGGCTGGGGGGAGCCCCACAGCCCTCTCCCACCCCTGGGCCGGGCAGCCTGGGCTCCCCGCCGCGGGCCTGGCTCCTCCACCTTCCCGCCCCCCCCCGAGAGCCCGGATTCTCCCCCCGGGGCCGGTCCCTCTCCCGGAGTCCCCCCCCCGTTCCCCCCTCACCCCGGCGCGGCGGTGACCGGGAGCGGCTGCGGCCCATCGCCGCCCCTCAGCGCTTCCTGCCGCCCGGCCTCCCGCGCTTCCGGCTCCGCCACCTTCCCCCCCCCCCCCCAGGAACCGGCGCCGCCGCGCTTTGGTTCCGCATCGCACACGGTCCGGGGGAGTCCCCAAGGCGGGGGAGCGGCCTCACCCCCCCCTTCCCGGCGGCCTCCCGTCCGCACCCCGAGCCGGGGGTGCGGGCCCAGAGCCCCGGCGAAGCCGCCATCCCGCCATCCCCATCCCACCGGGAGGCCGCGACACCCCACCCCACCCCACCCCCAGCAGCCCCCCAAAAGCTCCACAGCGCTGGCGGGTGCCAAACACGGGGTTTATTTACAGACAAGGCGTTACACAGCGCTTTCCAGCGACGATTGTCAGACACCGGCGGTCGCCCGCGCTCCCCTCGGGCCGCCGGGGCAGCCAGCCACCCCCCAGCCCCTTTTCGGTGGGTGTTCAGCAGCCGCAGCCTCACCGGAGCCCGGTCTGCGGGGTGTCTGCCAGCCTCACGCCGAATCCGGTTGAAACCCCGGCGGCGCCTTGGCCCAAGATGGAAACCTGGCCTCTCATCTTGGTGGAAATACGGAGGGCGACGAGCACGCGGGCCACGGGCGGTGATCGGCACGTCTCGGGGGCGCTGGATCGACGCTTTGACCCGCAGCCGGCAGCCAGGGATACACCCCTGCTTCCCCGCTGCGGAAAACCCACACCCAAAACCTGGGCCGGGGTGCTTGGGTTTGGGCAGCCTTGCCAAAAAGAGGTGGGAAGAAAGCAGCGAGCCAGGGGCAAAACGCTGGCAGGGGAGAGGTGGGAAAAAGTTATCTGGAGGGGATGATCCTGTGTCTGTTTTCTTCTAGCTAAGCGGCGAGGATGCACGTCACGGTGGTGGCCGTTTGAGCCTTCCTCCCTGCTGAAGGCACCAGCGTCTCTCGCTTCCCAACGCTGCATAAGGCGCCTAATGCACCCGGGATTTCCACAGAGCGGGGAAATAAATCCCCATCTCCTCTGCAAAACCCCTGGCCTTTGGAGAAAAAGGGTCACAAAGCCCCTGGGGACAGACCCTTGGAGAAAGAGGGGCTGCAGCCTCCCCACGGGAATGCTGGCCGGTCCGGCGTTGGGCTGTGCGGCAGTGTTGTAATTCAGGTTATCGCCCCGGGAGCGACCGTGCCGTCTTGGGGATGCAACGCACCCATCCCTGCGGGAGCTCTTCTGGCCTGGGTCGTGCAGAGGGACAGGCTGGACGGCAAAAACGGCCTCAAAGAGCCTTAAAATCAGTGGCAGTGAGCAACACCCCATGGGAAATGGTTACAGAGCTGTGGTTTTTGTCTCAAAGGCTGGCTGCCAAAGAGACACTGAATATAGGCACGAGCATGGGGGGCTGGTGTTCCTGCCCTCCGTTGCAGATGGTGAATTTAGGAGCTCAGCGTCCCCCATTTCCCCCCCTCCCCGGTCCTCGCAGGAGCATGGTGGGGAGCTGTGGCTCTAACCCCAGTGATGGAGCTCGGTGTGGACATTGGGCTGGGCTCTTCCCGAACACCGGGCTTCAGGACAGCCCCGGGGCTCCAGCAACATGCCTGCCAGGTGTGTATTTTTTTGCACTTTTTAAAAGGTTTTCACGCTTTACTTTTCGATTCAGAATTTGCCTAGCACACCTAATAATCGCAGCCCCGCAGAGGAAACCAACCTTTGTTTACAAAGCTCTTCCCTTTGACCTACAGCTCCCTGCCTGCACCCCGCTCTGCCCCATGTCCTCACCCCCAAAATTTCTGCCTGGCCCATGAGCTTTCTGCTCTTCCGGAGGAGAAAGCAAAAACCAAGAGCTGCCTCGCAGCAGTGGGAAGGCTTTGAAAACATGGTTGTGGCACATGGGAAAATCATATTGGGGTGAGGAAAGCCAGTGCCCTTGGAGGGGGGGTTCTGGGGCTCCCCACTACAGACCAAGCCCCCAGCAGACAGAACCTGGTGGGCGCTTGAGCTGTGGCAGGGAAGCTCATGCAGGCAGACGGCAAACCCCTGTGGGTTACGGGCTGATCCCGTTGGTTTTGTCCCCTAAATACCAGCGTTGGAGTGGCTGTGGGGCAAATCAGCATCGCTGGTTTTCTTCTTCCCGTCGGGCACAGCCGGGAGGTTGTGAGGATGGTCGTGTTGCTGTACGGAGCGCTGGAGGCAGGGAGGGGAGGCTGGGTGGGAAGGAAACACCAAGGAGGATTTGAACTTGTGCTCGGGAGTCCAGAGCTGGGGAAAAGCAACGATCCGGCCTCGGCCGCGCCGACGGGCGTTCGCTGAGCCCAGGGTCGGTGCGAGCGGAGACCTGGCGCAGCCACGGCCGCGCGCGCCGGCGTCGCCGGGACATGGTGGTGGGGACGGGGGGGTGGCGGCGTTGGCAGTGCCTCTGGCTGAAGTGAATCGGCAGCGTGTGTTCATCCCGAAGTAGCACTTAGTGAGTGAAGTTTTGCTCAGTTTTAAATAACACAGACACTTCCCGGAGGCTCTTTTCTTCTCCCTTCTCAGGTGCGGTTCGTGTGGTGCAGCAGGGGCTCTCCCAGTGCCGTGGAATCCTCGTAGGGTGAATACGTGAGACGGTGGCACCAGGAGAGGGGACTGAAGGTGGCTCTTCGGCTCAGGGAGAGGAAGATTACAATCCAGAAAGGAAAGGCTCCCAGGCCCAGCGCCTCGGCCTCTCCTTCAGGGAGAGCAATCCCGCCACGTTCGGCTTGAGCCGATTCCCCTGGCGAAGCGGCGAACAATTTTGCCTTGGGGGTGAAGCCAACGCCATTCCAGCGGAGCTTGAAACAGAAGGTAAAAAAAAAAAAAAATAACAACAAAACACCCTTTTCTTCCTCAAACCAAGCGGTTCCGGGCTGCGCCCCACATTTCACGAGGGCTCTGCAAGCGGCGGGTGAGAAAAAAACAACCCTCATCCCACATGTGGGAAGGGGCTGGTGCCCAGGAGGGAGAAGGGAGAGCTCGTGGGAGGAGGGAGATCGCAGCGGGTATTTCCCCAAGCGGCAAACAGGGGCCACAATCTTTCATAAGCTCGGTGACCGCCTCCAAAAGCGGGTGACAGGGGACGAGGTGCCTCGTGCCAGGGGTCCCCAGAAAACAACTCGCCTCCGGGGTTTTCGGCTGCGCCTCGGCCAGACGCACGACGCAGGAGCCGTCCCTCGGCCTCGGCGCCTCTGTCCAGAGAGGTTCCCAGCCGCCGCTGCAGCGGGAGGCCTCGGAGGAGACTCAAGATTCGATTTTTTCCTTCTTTTTGCCTTTTTTCAGGAAAGATGGGGTCCGGAATTTCTTCTTCTTCTTAGAGGGCGATTTGGAGGGTGAACCTTCGGGGGAGACGGGGCTGCTGGTCACCGTCTCCTTCTCCTTGGGGGCATCCTGGTCAGCTTTGGCAGGGGAGGTCGTCCGGCCCCCCCCTTTGCCCAGGCTTTCCTCGGTGCTCTGCTCCTCATCTTTCCTGTTCACCACCGGCGGCACCTTCTCAGTGGCAGAATCAGCCAGTGCTTGGCCGCCGTTCGCCGTCTTGTCACCTTGGCAAGGGGAAAGAGGAGAGGTGAGGCTTGGGGCAGGGGGTGGCTGGCACTGTGGAGGCTTAAATCCCCCCCTCCAGCTTGCCGGTTGGACCTGGGCAGGAGCAGAATTTGGCCCCTGCAGACAGAGAGTGCTGGCACCCAATCCCCGTTTTCCTGAACCTTCCCCCCCTCCCCATGGGAGAAGCGACGGGATGGAGAGCTGGGAAGAGGCAGGTGGGGAGGGTGGCTGGCTCCGTCCCGGCCTCGCCGCTGGAAATAAAGCAGGCAGCAAAGAAAATGAAGCAACCCAAGGCATTTCCTTCTGCGAAACCCTGAGCGGGCCGTCGCTCCCCGCGGGAGCACGTCCGAAACGGGCCGCGGAGAGCAAGGTCACCCCGAGCTAGCGGGGAGCGCGGTCGCCCGCGTCCCTCCTCCCGCAGCGAGGCTCAGGGGCGGCCTCTCCGTACTTACTACGGTGACAAGTATTCAGAGTCAGAGGTAACTCCTTGGGTGAAAGCCACACATGGAGGAAAGAGAAAGGAAGACGTTGTGGAGACAGACAGGCGGACACCACGAGACACGATGAGAAAGCGAGAAGCCGCGCGCTCCCACTGCCCTCTCCCGCACCCCGAGACCCGCTGTGTTTGTACATTAGAAATTTGCAATGGGAAGCAGAAAATAATGGGGGTATCGCACCCGTTGGTGCGTTAGGAGGGGGACAGATGTGTCCCCCGCCACCCCGCAAAGCCACCAGTGGACACTCACGACCTTTGCAGTGTGAATCCTCGTCGGTGCTCGCCCTCACCAGAGCGGGGACCCCCCCCCCCCCCTAGGGAAAGGCAAAGGGACACGGGGGGGTGGGGTGTGACATTTATCTGCGTGTCAGCGTGGTCTGACTACAGCCACCCTCATCCCCCCACTTCGGTTGCTCACTGGAGACCCCGCTCTTGTGTCCCCATTCAAGGGGGGGGGGGGGGGCGAGCCCGGGCGCTCGCCAGCCCACTCACCCTCCGGGGGCTCCACAGTCGTGGCGGCCGGGCTCTCTGCCGGGGCTGCGGGCGGGCTCTGCGCTGGGGAGGCGGGGGGCGATTTGGTGGGGGTAGCCTGGCTCTCCTCTGCCGCAGCGTCCTTCTCGCCTGCCAGCGGAGAGATGCGCTGGCCCCGGGGTCCGCTGGGTGCCGGCCCCGAGGGGGATTTGGGACCAGGGCTCCCCCCGTACCCCTCCTACCCTGCAGCCCCATTTTTTTCCTCTCCACCTCCTGCTTGTACTCCTCCAGCTCCTGGTCGGTGAGCTGGCTGAAGGGGTTCGGGGGCTCCGGCTCAGGGGGTGCCTCCTCCCGTGATGCCTCTTTGGCCTCCGCATCCCCCAAATGACTCTCTGTGGACTGAAACACCCCCCGGAGCAGTGTCACCCCCTGACCGGTGGGGCTGCTGGGGAGCTGGGGAAGGGGCTGGGGACACGGGGTGACATACGGGGCTGCGGCTGGTCTCGGCGATCACGCTGGCCAGAAGCTGTGACTGGGGCCCGGCCGACTTCACGTCCTGGCGGTTTTGCTCCCGGATCTGCGGGTGAGATGCAGAGTGAGGGTGGGGAAAAAGCCTCCCCCTTTCCCCAGGGTCTGCCGAGACCCCTGCACCTGCGTCCGAAAGCCCGTCCGGGGCTTTCAAAACGGGACCGTACCTTGTTCCTCATCTCCAGCACCTCCTGTGGGTCCGTGTAGAGGGGCACGAACTGGTTGGGGTTCTCAATTCGGATGGGGGTTCCGCTGCTGCCTTTTTCCACCTCATCTGCTTTCAGCCACTGTGTGTCCCAGAGACAAAACCCCGATAAATACATGTTGTGAAGGGAGGAGACCCCAATAAATGCAAGTTGCGTAGAGGGGAGACCCTGTTAAAGCCTGTGGTGCTCAGCCCCCTGGGCTGGGGAGGTGGGATTTTAAAATATTATGTGGTCAGGGGTCTGATGCCATTCCCTGAGCCAGACCCCTTCCCAAATTAACCCCAGGATGCCGGGGCAGCTCCTCACCGTCGTCTTTGTCTTCTGGCTGCTGGCAGTGCCCTGCTGCTCCTCGGCCACGTTGACCCTCATGTAGGTGTTGGGGGTGTTGAGCCACCGCGTCTTCTCCTTCTGTTGCTTCTGGGCATGCTGCCGCAGCGCGGGGACGGGGGCAGCCTCCTCCTCGAAGACGAAGGCCGTCACCGTGGCGGGGATCAGCACGTCGCTTTTGGGCTTGCTCTTCTCCTGCACGAAGGGGTAGCGGTAGGTGTAGCCCGTGCGGTAACCCTGGAAAAGCAGAGAGCGCTTGGTTGTGAATAATACAGGGATTAAAAAAAAAAAAAAAAAAAAAATTTTTGTGCATTTTGGGGGAGCTCGCCATGTTTCGGCAGCAGCCGGTGCTCACCAGGTTGTCCAACATCCTCATCAGGGCTTCGAATTCGTGCTCGCCCAAGCGGCTCTTCTGCATGGGCCCGAAGGTGCTGCCGGCCCAGCGCACCGAGCCCACCTCGTGGGGCCGGTGCTTGGCGCGCTCCAGCACGATCAGGTTCTCCGCGCCGCCCGCGCTCGCCAGCGCCGACACCTACGGCCGAGCCGGGGGAGAAGCAGCTGATGCAGCCGGACGGGGACAGCCCCAAACCTGCCCACAGCCCCCGCGGCTGCGCTGGTCTGTCCCATCCCGGGCACTGTGCCGGCGGCAGAGACCTGGCACAGCTCAGTGCACAGTCCCAGGGCTCTGTGCCAGGAGCAGAGACCTGGCACAGCTCAGTGCATGGTCCTAGGGCTCCGTGCCAGCAGCAGAGACCTGGCACAGCTCAGTGCACGGTCCTAGGGCACTGTGCCAGCAGCAGAGACCTGGCACAGCTCAGTGCATGGTCCTAGGGCACTGTGCCAGCAGCAGAGACCTGGCACAGCTCAGTGCAGAGTCCTGGGGTATTGCAGTTGTGGCAGAGACCTGGCACAGCTCAGTGCATGGTCCCAGGGCTCTGTGCCAGCAGCAGAGACCTGGCACAGCTCAGTGCACGGTCCTAGGGCACTGCAGTGATAGCAGAGACCTGGCACAGCTCAGTGCACGGTCCCAGGGCACTGCAGTGATAGCAGAGACCTGGCACAGCTCAGTGCACGGTCCCAGGGCTCCGTGCCAGCAGCAGAGGCCTGGCACAGCTCAGTGCACGGTCCTAGGGCACTGCAGTGATAGCAGAGACCTGGCACAGCTCAGTGCATGGTCCCAGGGCTCCATGCCAGCAGCAGAGACCTGGCACGGCTCAGTGCACGGTCCCAGGGCTCCGTGCCAGCAGCAGAGGCCTGGCACAGCTCAGTGCACGGTCCTAGGGCACTGCAGTGATAGCAGAGACCTGGCACAGCTCAGTGCACGGTCCTAGGGCACTGCAGTGATAGCAGAGACCTGGCACAGCTCAGTGCATGGTCCTAGGGCTCCGTGCCAGCAGCAGAGACCTGGCACAGCTCAGTGCACGGTCCTAGGGCACTGCAGTGATAGCAGAGACCCGGCACAGCTCAGTGCACAGTCCCAGGGCTCCGTGCCAGCAGCAGAGACCTGGCACAGCTCAGTGCATGGTCCTAGGGCACTGCAGTGATAGCAGAGACCTGGCACAGCTCAGTGCACGGTCCCAGGGCTCCGTGCCAGCAGCAGAGACCTGGCCCAGCTCAGTGCACGGTCTCAGAGCAACACGCTGTCCTCAGAGACCCGGCCCAGCTCAGCGCAAGCTCCTGAGACACGGTGCTGGCAGCAGAGACCGTACACAGCTTGGTGCTTATTCCCAGGGGTACCGCCCCAGCAGCTGAGACCGTACACAGCTCGGTGCACGCCCCCAGCACTCACCTGGATCTCGCAGGCCGCCTGCAGATGGAAGATGCTGTAAAAAGCCTCCTCGGCGGTGTCGCCCAGTGCCAGCACCCCGTGGTTGCGCAGCACCAGGATCTGCAGCACCGAGCACAGGGCGGGGGGGGGGGGGGATGTCAGAAGGGCAAGGCAGAGGGGACCGGGACGGTGGGATGGCCCCTCGCTGCCCCCCTGCCTCAGTGTGCCGTCCCCCCACCCCATCCCCTCACCTTGCAGGTGGGGCCGAGGGATTTTTGGAGCTCGACCCGATCGGCTTCGTCCTCCACCTCCCCGCGGAAATCGAAGTAGGCGACGTCCCCCAGCAGCAGCGCGGCGCGGGAGATGGGCAGCACGCCGCAGCGCATGGCCGACACCTGCAGCGGAGCGGGGCAGGGCAGGCAGGGCACACACCTCACATCCCCCCCCCCCCAAAACCTTCATGGTCACCCCCAAAAAATCCCCCCCGCCCCCCCCAAATCTTACTGCAGCCGTGGCCGGCGTGTGCAGGCGGATGATGCAGCGGGTGTCAGGGCGGGCGGCGTAGATGGCGGCGTGGAGGCTGAAGCTGCGGGCGTCGGGGGCGAAGCCGGTGCTGCCCTGCTCCACCACGGCCCCCAGCACGTTCACCTTGATCTTGGGAGGGGGGGGGGATTTGGGGGGCTCAGAGGTGGCGGGTCCCCCCCCACTCGGGGTGTGGGGGTGGTGCGTGTGTGGGAGGGACGGGGACATGCTCACCAGGCTGGCTGCTGTCACCTCGCTGCACGCCAGCCCCTGTGGGGCCACCAAGAAATGCTCCTGCTCCTTGCTCACCCGCAGCTGTGCCAGGAAAAAGCCCATATACGTATAAAAAAACCCCAAAACAAAACAAAAAAAAACAAACCAACACCCCCCCAAAAAGCTAACCCCTCCACCAAAACTCCCACTAAAAAATCCCCAAATCCCACCCTTCCCCCCAAAACCCAACTCCTCCCAACTACCCCAAAAAAACCCCCCAAAGCCCCCAACCCACCCAGAAAAACAACTCCCCCAAAAACCCCAAAACTCCCAAGCCTCTCCCAAAATGCCAAACCTCCAAAAAACTACCCCAACCCCCCCCAAAAAAACAACTCCCCCAAAGACCCCCAAACTCCCAACCCCCCAAAAAACCACCCTCAACTCCCCAACAAAACAACTCCCACAAAGAACCCCTCAAAACTGCAAAACTCCTAACCCCCCCTAAAAACCACCACCCTCCCCAACCCCCCCAACCCCCTCAACCCCCCACCCAAAAGAACCCTCAACCGCCCCCAAAACCTCCTCAACCCTCTGAAATAAGAAAACCACAACAAAACCCCCAACCCCCGCACCTCCACGCAACCCCCACCCCCCAAAAGTCATCCCTCCTCCCCCCTCCCCAAATCCAAACGACCCCAAACCGCCAAGGCAGCCCCCCCCTCCCAGGTTTTGGGGTGCTCACGGTGACGGCGGCGTGTCCCAGCTGGGCCCAGCCATAGAGGTCGAGCAGGCGATGGATGCTGCCCACCTTGCACCGCATCAGCCGCTCGCCCTTGGCCAGCGCCGGCGCCTCGGGGCCGTGCAGGTCGTTGATGGGGGTGACAGCCGCCAGCCCTGGGGACGTGCCACCCCCCCCCGAGTGAGTGGGAGATTGGGGGGGGTGTGGGGGGGGTGTGGGGATTGACCTCCCTCCCCCAAACCCTGGGGGATTCGCAGGGACAGGGGAGCGGAGGGTTCCGGAGCTGGGTTTGTTGGCCCCCAAAGTTAGGTGGCCCCCCAGGTTTGATGATCCCAAAGGTTTTGGGGGCCCCAAAGGTTTCAGGGACCCCAAAGGTTTGGGGGATGGCTGGTTGGTGTCTGCAGAGTGACCCCCCCCCCTTCTATCCCCACAGTGTCCCCCCCCCTCCCTTTCCCACCACCTCTCCTAGAAATGGAAGGAAAACTGGAGCCTTACCAGCTGTTTTCTCACCTACAATCCCATAAATGAAGAAATCCCCTCAAATATTTCACAGAACCGTTTTGTTTTCCCCCCAAAAAGCCCTTGGCGGGTGTGGCCATACCCATGGGGGAGGTGGGGAGGACGGCGGGGGACGTGGTGGCCATGAAGTCGGCGATCTGCCGCAGGGCCCAGATGTGGGACGAGTTGTTCCCCTTCTTCATCTGCTCCTGGATGAGGCTCTCCAGCTCCTCCCTGAAAGACTGCGGCATCCCGGCCCCACCGGCGTCACCTCCCCCGGGGAAGGGACACGGTGACCGAGCAGGGACCATCTGGTGGCACCGGGGTGGGGGCACCGCCGGGTCGCTGGTGGCAGCATCACCAGTTTGGTGGAAGTGGCACCACAGGCTTGGTGGCACGGTGATGGTGGCACCACAGGCTTGGTGGCACGGTGATAGTGGCACCACGGGTTTGGTGGCACGGTGATAGTGGCACCACGGGTTTGGTGGCACGGTGATGGTGGCACCACGGGTTTGGTGGCACGGTGATGGTGGCACCACGGGTTTGGTGGCACGGTGATGGTGGCACCACAGGCTTGGTGGCACGGTGATAGTGGCACCACAGGCTTGGTGGCACGGTGATGGTGGCACCACGGGTTTGGTGGCATGGTGATGGTGGCACCACAGGCTTGGTGGCACGGTGATAGTGGCACCACAGGCTTGGTGGCACGGTGATGGTGGCACCACGGGTTTGGTGGCATGGTGATGGTGGCACCACGGGTTTGGTGGCACGGTGATGGTGACATTACCAGCTTGGAGTCAGTGACACCACTGGCTTAATGGCACGGTGACCGTGGTGGCACCGGCAACTCAGTGACAGCAGCACCAGAGGCTTGGTGGCACGGTGGTGATGGTGGCACCACCAGCCAGGTGGGGACATGCCCAGAGCCAACATGTGGTGGCATTGGCGTTGGGACAGGAGGGACAGGGTTGGAGATGGGGTTGTTGGATGGCAGATGGGGTGGGGACAGGAGGGAGGGGGTTTGGGGACAGGAGGGATGGGGTTTGGGGACAGGAGGGACGGGGTTTGGGGTCCCCGAGAGGGGCCACCTCTCACCGGGCTCTGGAGGATCATGGTGACCCGCTTCTTCTGCTCCATCATGTTGAAGTCCTGCCGCAGGTCGGCTGCCATGTTCCGTGCCCGCAGGTACTCGGGGTCGTCCTCGGCCAAACCCCCCAGGTATCGGGGCGCGGGGGCGGGGGGCGAGGGCAGGGGCTCCGGGCTGGCAGCCGTGCTCATCCTGCCGGCAGGGACGGATGGACGGGCAGACGGACGGACGGACGGCGTCAGGCCCCGCCACCCTCATCCCCTCCACAAATACAGATTGCGAAGAAGCCACAGAAAATATCGCCCAGCTGCGCCCCATAGATAAGCCCCGGCCGGCCCCCGCCCTGCCCATCGGTGTGACGAGTTGGCAAGGGACACTTTGGGGGTGGGGTGGGGGGGGTGTCCCCCCACGGCCTGAACCGCCCAGACTCAGTTCCACCCCCTGCCCTGGAGCGGGGAGAAGCTGTGGCTGAGAACGGGCAGCTCAGTGCACCGATGGGAGCAGCACCAGTGACACCCGCCCTCAGGACAGCTCCAGATTGGGGCCACGCACCATCGAGGGGCTGACGCCACGGTGCCAGCGCACATTTTGGGGGGGGGGGGGCGGATGAAGGGGGGCCAATCCCAGCCGCTGCAGACCCCAAAAGACCAGCGCTGATCCTCCCCCCCCCCCCCCCCCCCGCCATGCACCAGCCAAGGGCAACTTCAATGAGGTGTTTTGGGGGTGCTGCTGCAAAGGATCCCCCCCCTTAGATACAGAGCACTGCTTGCCCCCCCAAAATACGAGGGGTTGCACACAAACCTGAGCTGCTCCCCCAAACCCCTTGGGGCACCCCCCAACAGAGCCCCCCCCCCCCCATGCTTTCACCAATGCAAAAGCAAACACACCCCCCCCCCCAGTTTTGCTGCTCTGGGACTGACCTGGCTCAGAAGTGGGGGGGCCTTTTCCAGGCTAAAATTCCCTCGGGGGGGGGGTGGTGGTGTCCCACAGCAGCCCCCGGCCCACGCCGGAGGGGAACGTCAAGTGGCAGCAAGGTCCTGAGCATCCCCGTGGGATTTTCCCCCCAAGGAGAAGGAGGGAGAGCAGAGGGGTGTCTAAGGGCCCCCCCACATCACTCGGTGCCTGGGGTGGGGAGGGGGACACCCCCAGGCTGCATTCCCCTCCCCACCCCCCCCCCCCCAAGCATCCCCAGCCGCCTCCGCCCTCGCCGCACCCAACGCCGCTGCGGCAGCCGCAGGGATGGCGGATAAGGATGAAAAATAGGGAATCTGGGGGGAGGACGGGAGGGGGGGCCTGCAGCAATGCACCCCCCCAGGGATGCGGATTGATTGGGAGGGGGGAAGGGGGTCGGGTACCCACCGCCTTCGGAGGATAAAGGCCTGAAGCAGGGGGGGGGATGCAATGCCACCCCCCCCCCCCCCATCTGCATGCAGCCAGTTTTGGGGGGGGTGTGAGATAAAAGAAGAAAAAGGGGGGGGGGGGTAACCCAGCCGCTCCCGCCCTCAGCCCCCCCAAACCCTCCCCGGGGGAGGGGGATGCTGCGGCCGGGAGGATGCTGCCATCACCCACCTCCTCCTCCTCAGAGCATCCTGACAAAGGGCCGCCCCCCCACACCCCCCCGCGCAGGTCCAGCTCCCTCTGCCGACACGCCACGCGTGGCCCCGCCGCCTTCCCCCGCCCCACCCCACCCCACGGACCCCCCCCCCCCCCGGGAAACTCCCCGAGTGCAAACAACCCGGGAGGGGAAGCACGCACCGCAGACACCCCCAAAATCCGATTTTATTACGAGAACGTTAATTGGGAGTTACATGAAACAAGCCATTACCTGGCGGGGGAAGGAGCAGCACTGCTAATTGCTAATTACATTTTCATACAGCAATTAATTACAGCTCTGGCCTCCCCACCACGTTTTAGGGGTGATGGACACCCCCACCATGCCCCCATTTTGGGGTCAGGGCCAGTTGAAGTGCTGGGTTTAATGGGATGAGGGACTGGATCCAGCCCTGGGACAGGAGCCGCAGCCCCAAAAATCAGTGCTTGAGCATCGAACTTAGCTGTCACTCTGGGTCCCCCACAGATTTTTGCAGGACACCCTGATTTTTTAGGGATTTGCTGGAAAAACCTTAAAAAAAAAAAAAAAAAAAGGATGTTTTTTATTCTCCTTTGGAATAATTTCGTGGGGGGTAAAAGCTGATTCGAATCAATTTATGTCAATATAAATCAGGGGCTCCCCAAACCCACAAGGCCATGGGTGGGAGCTCCCTGCAAGGCCCATGGGTGCCCCCAACCCTGTCACCCTCAGCCAGGGCTGACCCCCAACTCACCAGCCCCTCACTCTCCTGCTGCAGCCCGGGACAGGGGGGCAGGACAGGGTGACCCCACATGTGGGGGGGGCACTTCCAGGCCAGGTCTTGGGGGGCACCCCTGGGGGTCTCCCCACTGCTGTCACCCAGCTCCTGTTCAGCATTGGTGTCCTGCTGCTGGGAAAACGCGGGAGAAAAAGTCAAAGGGGAATTAAAAAACACACTGAAATTGAGGATCCAGCCCCCCCCCCTCCCCGTTTCTGCTTTGAGAAACAGCCCCTCCCCCCCAATAATAATTGAATTTATTTCCCATATTTAAATTAATTACAGCCTAAAAAATGTTAAACAAGAAAATCCCTACCAGGCCCCCTCGAGCTCACACATGCTAGAGGGAAAGTTTTGGATGCAGGGGCCCTATTTTGGGGTGAAACCTCCCCCCCCATACCTTGACTCCCCCTGTTTCCTCCAAAACCAGGCGCAGCAGGCGGATGTACTCGGTGGCAGCTTTCAGGGTGTCGACTTTGCTGGGCTTGCGGTCGCAGGGGATGAGGGGCACGATGGTCTTCAGCTTCGAGAAGCCGCTGTTCAGGTTTTTAATCTGCCGGGAGGAAATAAATCCAGTTACCCTGGGATTAAACTGGGTGTGTCCCCCCCCCCAGGATTAAAACGGGCCCTCATAGGATTAAACGAGGCCCCCCAGGAATAAACTAAGCCTTTCTAGGATTAAACCAGGCCCCCCAAATTCAGTGGCAAAGGCAAACACCTCGGGGCAATGCTGCTGGGGGTCCCCTGACTAGAGCAGCCCTGGGTGCTACCACGATGGGACATCTCCTGTAGCCCCATGGGATTTGCCCCCCCCCCCTTTTTTTTTTTTTTTTTTGTGTGTGTGGGGTGGGTGCAGAGGGCTGTTTTGGGGTCTCCTCACCCTCTCGCGCTCCTTGGCGTTGGCCACTTGCCGCCGCTCCAGCAAGTCCGCCGGGTCTCCGGCCGGCTGGTAGCCCCCGGCCGGCTGCTTGCGCAGGCGGGTGATGGCGGCGGCGCGGGGCAGGGGGCCGTAGCGCTGGCTCAGCACCCTCTCCAGCACCTCGGGGGCCGGGGTGGGCAGCAGGACCCCCGCCGGCGGCTCCCTGGCATCCCCCATAGCCAAGGAAGGGACAGATCCCTCACCCCACCGCGCTGCCACCCAAAAAGAGAGAAAGTGCTTAAAAAAGGCCCTTAAATACCCTGAGAGCCCAACGAGCTGCAGGTGGGGCTCAGTGCGGCCTAACGAGCGGGGCAGGTGCAGGGGCAGGAGGGGGGCTTGGGCCGTGCCTCAGTTTCCCCACTCAGCAGCCAAGTCGCCAAAGCCCGTGGCTAACAAAGTCTTGACCCAAAAAGGGACCCAAACCCATCCCTGGGAGCAGGGGGGGTTCTTTGTGGGGGGGGGATGAGGCCTGACGCCCTGGTGATGGGCAGCTGGTCTTGCCCCTCAGAGAGAAACAGGGGTTTGTTTAGGAGGCTTCACGTGTCCCTAAAGATGTGGGAAGCTCGTTTGGGTGGGGAAAATAAAAATATGAGGGGATTAATCACAGCGAGGGCTGTTTCGGTAGATGGCAGTGTTAGTCCCTGCAATGCTGGAAACCTCAGGCCTGCTAGAAAAGGGGGGAAATTCCCTTTTGCCCACCAAAACTGAGGCTGGTGGCCGCCTTGTCACCCTGGGTTATTCACCGGGGGGGAGGAAACCTCATCCCCGGGATGTTTTTTCCCCCTCACAAAATGCTGCCCATCCTCCCCTCTGGTGTTTTCAGGGAGGAAAGAGACCCAAGGTGGCTCGCCCTGCTTTTCCCAGGGGGGTTTGGGGGCTGCTGGCGGGGAGTGGGTGACCCATGGGGTGCAGGGGGGGACAGATGTGTTCCGAGGCCACCGTGCCTCAGTTTCCCCAAACCTGAAGGCCTGAAAACTATCCCTGGGCTGCACCAGAGTCCTGACATTTTGCTCCTCACACCGAGGGAGAGTGGGACTGGAGGAGCAAATTGCAAAGAAACCCCTAATTGAGCCTCAGAGACACCTGGAAGTCAAATGAGCTTTTATTAGAAACTCAGAAAACCCAATTTTCCCTTCTTTAATGCTCCATAATGAGCTTCCCTATCCCACAGCCAGATCCGGCTAATCACATTATTACTGCCACGAGCAGGGGGGAGCGGATCTTCCAGATTAATCTGAGGGCAGGTGGGTTTAAAGCCACCCCCAAAAAAAAGGTCTGTATATGCCTGCTGACTTTTATTCAAAGGTGAAAACATCTGAGGGGGAATTAGGGCTGCTGAAATCTCCTGGCAGTTGGGGTTTGCTCCTCTTAATTTGTTTTATAGCTGGGAAAATTGCCCCAGTTTGGATGTTTGCGGGTTAAAAATCAAGAGAAAAATGGGAAGTGGCGGGAGGCGCCACTGGGGTGGGTGACAGAGGGGTTTGGGGGTTGCTTCTGCAAACTGGATTTGCAGGAGTCTTGTGCTGATGGGAAGTGAGCAGAGCTGGGCAGCAAAATTGTTAGGGCTCAGGGTTATTGGGGGTCACAGTTACTAGGGATCATGGTTATTAGGGACCATGGTTTTTATGGACTATGTTTTTTAGGGGTCAGTTGTTAGGGATGATGTTTTTTCGGGGTCATGGTTATTAGGGATAATTTTTTTTCAGGGTCATGGTTATTAGGAGTCAGTTATTAGGTCTCACAGTTATTAGGGATGAAGTTTTTTTAGGGGTAATGGTTATTAGGGGTCACAGTTACTAGGGTCCATGTTTTTTAGGGGTCACAGTTACTGGGGACCATGGTTTTTAGGGGTCAGTGTTATTAAGGCTCAGTTATCAAGGCTCAGTTATCAGCCCCTGCTCACAGCAAACGCAGGGGAGCACCTGCAGAGGGCAAGGATGCTGCAAAGACAGGAATTTATTTTCTTTTTTTTGTTGTTCCCACCCCATTTTCTGCTTCTGCTGGCCTGATGTGTGACGTGTGTGGCTGGACAAAACCTCCTGACAGCAGCCACAGCCTCGCGGAGCCGGCGTGAGCCAGAGGAGAGCAGCAGTGAAGGGCCGGGGGGGGCAAGGGCAGAGCTCCTCCAGCAGCGAAGCCTCTCCGGCAGGTTTGGAGAACGCCACGAGTCTCTCCAACCCGGGCTTAGGGCACCCCCGGGGTTTCTGAGTTTTGAGGGATTCACCCCAATTTCCCCCCATCCCTGGGGTCGCAGCCTGCTTTGCTGCAGGCCAGGCATCCTCGCGCAGCTGCCGGCAGGGATGGGAGCTTGGGAAGCATCCAGGGCTGAATTCCCAGAAAACAGCGGCCTGGCAGCACGGGGGTGGTTTGCCCATCACTGAACGCTTCAGGCTGAGACTTTACCAACATTTCAGCCTCAAACGTGCTCAGTTATCCCTTTCATTTTCCCCACTCCAAGCGTGGCTGGAGCAAGAGCTGGGCTTGGGTCCCAAAGCCTCGGCACCGGCTGCTCCCAAAGCCGGGTGTCCCATCCCATCGGTTTTCCCCCCTCCTGCCCGGCCGGCAATGCCAAGCTCCGGCAGGATCTGACATTTATCATTATCACGGGACTGGAAAAATTACCCAGTGGTTTCTAATTACCGGCACAGGGTCGGTGCTGGGAAGGTCAGGGAAGAGGGTTGGTGCCAGGGCTGTGGCGTGGCCGGATCCTGGCGCGGGGCAGCTGCTGACATGTGATTAAGCCCAATCTTTCTTGGCGTGGTCCCAAATGTCTCGGGGGGTGGCCGGTCCTCACCAGAGCTGCCGGCCTTGTGCCAAATCCATGCTGCCCATGAGCACCCGTGACAGGCTGCTGGCCAGATCCTAAATAAATACTAAATAAATAAAACACTTTGAGGTCCGTTATTGAGTGGTGGCATCGCCTCCAGCCATGGCAGAGGATGCGGGAGCTGCGGCCGGCGTTTCCACCTTTCCCTCCTCCTCCTCTTACCGTCAAAGGTGGCCCGAGGCACCCGCTCTCCCGCGCAGCTGCAGCCAGAAATTTGTGGCATCATTCACAGCCGGGATTCCTCACCAGGCTGCTGTCAGATTGGCAGATCCTAGTCCCCAGGCTTGCTGGGGGTCAAGCCTGGCTTGGCATCGGGATCACTCGTCCCACTTCCAGTGGGTGCTGGGTGCCCGGGGACAGGGCTCACAGTTGTCAGCGTGCAAAATGGGGGAGTGCAGGTTGCCATATGGCAGTGAGGCCGCCTTAAAAGCTTTTGTCCTGCCATTAAATCTGTAAAATCATGCCTCCTGCCGCCATCAATGCTGCTGGAGATGGCGGTATCTGCATCTCCCGAATGCCTTGTCTTAGCAAAATATCACCGTGCTCCAGTGGAAGGCAGAGAGCTCCATCTCAGCTGAGGTTTCCCAGCTCACCCATCTGTTCAAACCAGAAATTTGAAGCTGTATTTGCAAGGGAAGGTCCGGAGGCCGTGGTGTTGTCTTTGTGGGAGTCGCGGGCAGGCGGGTTCCCAGTGCGATGCCCGGGGGCCTGGGGGGCATCGCTGTCCTGCCCGCATCCCAGCTGGCCGCTCCCCCAGCGCCTCTGTGTAAAGAGGTTTAATGAAAAGCAAGAGGTGCTGTGCAGGGAAGGTGGGGATGGTCCCCGGCCACCCACTGAGGTCCCCAGGGGGGTCCCACGCTAGGAAAGGGCAGGTCTCACCCCTGTCACGTGCTGAATTATACATGAGGTTTATCAGCCGGGTCCGGCGCCTGCCGCGATGAGGATTTCAGCAGGGACGGTGTGAGTGGGGTGGGAATGGTTGGGTGATGGGGCTCAGCATCGCTTGGCGCCCATCGACCCGACCCTTTATTACAGTGGGAGATAAAACAATCCCGATTTGTTTAAATAAAAGTAATAATTAAGGTCCTGCTGGGACTGGCTGGAGGGGGGAGAAAATGCCTGCTGGGATACCCGGCAATGCCCCTGGCCCCACTCGCTCCCTGGCACATCTCTCATCACCCAGTTCATTTTATTTTCCCTTTCCTGGAGATTCCCAGCGTGGACGTGCCAGGAGGTGGATTGTAAAGCTGCCGACGCCGAGGGCTCGGTGACGTTTCCTCCACGCCAACAGCAATAGGAGCGGGGACGGAACAAAGGCGGCTCTGTCCTTCCCGGCTTGAAGAAGCCTTTTTGTAAAAGCCGGCGGCCAGCGGAGGGAGGATCCCAGCCAGGAGCAGCATAAGTTTTCCCCATCCAAGTGCAGAGGAATTTTTGGAGATAAAAGAAGTTTCCGACAGCCGAAAGCGTTGCCAAAATGCCTCCTCAGGCAGGAGGCAGGTGGCTGCTGGGGGGAACAGCTCATGGCACGGCTGTGGGCACAGTGGGGTTGTGGTTTTGGTTGGCACTGGCCCCCAGCAGCCATCCCAAGGTCTGGATTAGTCCTGGGCTGTCACCGTAGGCCACATGCCCCAGGGATGCGGATGAGATGGGGCCAGAGACCAAAACAGGGATGGGGATGGTACAGGGAAGGGGATAGGGATGGGATTAGGGGCAGGGACAGGGACCAGGATGGGGACAGGGATGGGATGGGGATGAGATGGGGACAGGGACCAAGACAGGGTTGGTGACAGAGATGGGGATGAGATGGGGACAGGATAGAGATAGGGACCAGGATGGAGATGGGGACAGGGATGGGGATGAGGACAAGGACGGGGTGGGATTGGGACAGGGACCAGGATGGGGCTGGGGCTGGGAATGGATTTCAGCTCTTCTTCACGCTCCCCAGTTAGTGCAGCACCTTGCCAAGGTACCAAGTTTAGAGGCTGGACTAAGATTTAGGGCTGGGTTTAACCTTCAGCACATCCAGGTGGTGCCTGAGCCCAGGTGGGGAGCCTGCTTTCCCCCAAAATGAGCCTTACCCCTTCTCTTGCACCCCTTATCACAGCCCAGCTGCCTGTGACAGGGAAACCTGGGGCTGCAGCTCCATCCCCCTCCTTCCCGACAGCAATTTCGGCCTTGCCCGTCCCAGATAACCACGCCGACGCTGACTGCCAGTGCTGCCCAGCCCTCCAAGCCGGATAATCTCCATTTGATAGAATTAATAACTGCATCAACCTTAAACCGCTTTGCCTGGCTCCTCTCCTGCAATGGGGAGAGGGGACTCGCATGCCCACGGTCACGTAGGGACAGAGCCACGGGGCTGGGGATGCTGCCA